ATTGTACTTCGTTCAGTTACGTATTGCTCATTGGCAGCTAATAGCCACTTTTGTGCATTCCCAACTTTTGTGCATTCTATTGTAGGTGGACGATGCTCCTGCTCCGAACATTTCATTTCCATGATTAAAGTAGGTTGATCCGAGCTGATTTGGTTGAGTTACGCTCACACAAGATTACATCGGTTGAGCTACATCGAGCGTGCTTTATGTCCAGAGTGATGTAATCTCTCTTTGACCGCAGCTCAACCGTCAGCTCGGATCAATACTGTCGTAGTGATGTCGCAGACAGGGCATCGGTCCCATGCAGTGGATCCCGCAACAATGATGATTGGATAAAAGTGGCCGTTAGCTAGCAATACATGCCTGTTCCTAGATGATCTATAAAGTAATTATACATTGACCCTTTCATTCATGCAAACGTAGCTGTGTTACACAACACGACCCTCTGCATCTTTTGCTCTGCCAGGGTCCACCTACTTGACAATGAACAAAGACCACTTCTCATATAGCATCACGCTTACAAACATAAAGATGCCTGTATCTCCAAACTTTACAATGAAACGTGGGGTTTTCAATAGTGCAATGGGCTCGGCTTGGCCAACAGCACCTTGTGTGAAAGTTTTACGTTCAATGTCGCAACCAGCCCAAAAAATATTTTTTGGTGGTCGTCGTCGAAGAGGTCGACCCACCGATCCAGTTTGGCTGGTGGCGACATTGCGAAATCTGGGATCGCCCACGATGAACTTCATACTTTGACACAAGATTCCTTTGACCCCGACGAGCACGTTGATCTATTAAAGAGCCCACGTTTGATTGTAAAGTTTGGAGATACAGGCGTCTTTATGTTTGTAAGCGTGATGCTATGTGAGAAGTGGTCTTTGTTTAAAGTAAAGTAGTATGACTATAATAGAGCAAAAGATGCAGAGGGCGTGCTTGTGTAACTTGAGTCATTCAGCACAGGCGATGCATGATTCTTGTACGCTATTTAGGAATAGTTCAAAATGCCGGCTAATAGCCCATTCATCCCACTCTCCATTGTTGTCCAATCCAATGCATACGAACGATTGTCCTGCTCCAGCCCATCATCTCCATCCTTCAACTTTCTTGATCCAGGGGAATGTGATTGAACAACGCTCAAACAAAAAAGTATCATCCAACTTGAGGAAAATCTACTTAATTTCCAGCTCTTCCACTCACCGCTTCTTCCCTCTTGCTCCCTTCATCAACTGTTGGCCCCATTCAAGTACAAGTACCACCTGCAAACGATTGTCCTGCTTCAACCCATCATGTCCATCCTACAATTGTCTTGATCCGAATGTCTTTGACTCAATGGCAAATGCATGGCGTGTACACAACCATCTTGTTACTCTTCTACAACACACTCCTTCCTTGATACTACACATCGTCTTGCGCACTCCTCTACCGCAACCAAACGTTACAGCATTCATTCCAGCAGTTATTAGCAAGGTCTTACTCCATTGTCGCTCATCACTTGCAGCGGCCTTTTTCACGTGAACAGCAGATAGCCATTGTACAGAAGCAGCTTTATTGACGTGTAGCGACGTGCTTCAACACATACGACTCCTTATGCATATGGATATGGATATGGACATTGTTTTGATACAAAGGATGGAAGGATATGGATATGTATAACACGTGGAAAAAGAGCCTTTGTTCTTGTGCAGACATTGTCAACTTGACCATTATGCATGAAGCTATCATCCTGAACCACTGGTGCATCCAATTATCGTACTTGACACGCCCTTCCATGGCAGCTATTATCATCATCCTTTGTTCAACCGATCAACCATGTACAACCATCATCATCCAACTTCATGTTTTGTCACGCCATGCATCAAGTGCCACAATACCTCGCAAAGGATAGAAGCTTCCCATATCGATGTACCTCCCATTAGAGCAACGCATTGTACTTCTCCATCTCGTGCCCAGTCTATCTCTTGTGAATGATGTTGTATTAAAGGGTTACTTTCGCCACTATGGCATTGTGTTGACCAGCCATTTCTAAACTCCTAAGACACTTTCATTCTTCCTAAGTTGGACCTCGTCGTGGTAGGCATTTGATCCATTGTATTATATATTTATGGTATGGCAAAGGCTTGACTGTAGAATTGTTTCCACTTGTAAATACGATAAAATAAAAGGGAATCAAGAGAAAGGGTCTGATTGATTCATGTGTCATGAACAAAGGTTGTGTTCGGTGGTTCAACTTACTTCTCTTTTCGATGATTGAGTAAGCGATCCATGAAGTAATATTTGTGATGATCTTTAGCGTTTCATTGTTAACCTCTTTTCATTGTCATTGCTGTCATTGTGGTATTTAGTTCAACCATACCATGGCTCATACACCAATACTTTATCCAACAGCATACCGTTAGCCAATCTTCTTCCCCGTTGCCATGCCAAACAACATCTTCATTCGAATGGTGCAACCACAGGATACAATTACAATGAAAAATGAAAAGAGCCATTTTATACTGTTTGCTTTACAGGTTGACGCACCATCAATGATAATGTCTCAAACAATAAATCGGCAGCAGCAAATGCGGTAATTTGAGCGTTCGTATCGTAAGCAGGTGACACTTCAACCAAATCAGCACCAACGATATTCAACCCTTCCAATCCACGAAGAATGGTTCGAAGTTCACGTGATGACCATCCACCGGATTCGGGTGTGCCAGTTGCAGGTGCAAATGCAGGATCCAGTGTATCAATGTCAATGGAAAGATACACATAATTGTCACCAACGCACTCTCGTATACGTTCAATCACACCACGAGTACCAATATCATCAATCTCACGTGCTTCGACTACCCGGAATCCTAGCTCTTGATCTTCCTATTGTAAAATAAAGTTATGCATTAACAATGCTGTGTGTTTAAATGTAGAAGATGTATAATCATACCTCATAGCCATTGGCATCCACGAGATTGTTGCGAATGCCAGCATGGATGGATTCACCCTTGTTGATAAGTCCTTCCTTGGAAGCATGCCAAAAGTACATGCCGTGGTTCATTGCTGATTCATCATCAGGACCAACACCTACAATGGCTGGGTTCCTTTTTGAATCGTTGAGTGGGTGGGGTACATGTGTGCATAGTAGTAGCAATGCTATACTTACCATGAGTCCAAATGAGAATCGAAATGGATAACGGACACTGGGCCATAAATTGCATGGAGTGCACGTAGAATTGGCAAGGTGATGGTATGGTCACCTCCCATGGTAAGCAATCGTGGGATGGTTCCCTTTTCTATGTCAGCAGTGGGATGATCCAAAAGGGACGCGTATCCGTATTGCAATTGACGGAGAGCAAGATTCTTGTCAAAAGGTCTACGTGATCGTTTGGTGAATCCATGCATCCATTCATTGTTATAGAATAACGTACGTCATGAAAATATCGCCACAATCAAGCACCTTGGCCCAGCTACGAAAAGGGTCGACCTTTTGAGGCACATTGTATCCACCCGTTAACAAGGTACGTCTTGAGCCTTCACGAATTGCTACAGGACCAAAGCGTGCTCCAGGTCTGTAACTGACACCTTGATCCATGTCACAAAAAGACATTAGCTCGAGTATAATAGGGTGCAACTGCTGCTCTTACCGCTATCAAAAGGAGCACCAATAAAAGCAATGTCATAAGTGAGTGAGGCATTTTGCAAGCATTGGACATAAGGCAAATGTGCAAATGTGCCCAAGCCAGCATAAAGACTATCGGCTGCAACGGGATCACTAATGAGATCATCCTTATCGAATGTTCCATGATGGCTATTGGCCTTGGCAGCAAAGGAATGAATGGTTGCATGCGTGTCAGCGGGGGAACTCGTTGCATGGCTATCGTCAGGATAAAAGGTTGCATGGCTGTCATCTGGAGACTCTGAAACAGCAAACACGGAATCAATGGCGAAATCATCCTTGTCAGATGTCCCTTGTCTATTATCTGGGTGAGCGTCGTTGACGGCAAACGAATGAAAGGTTGCATGAGTGTCATCAGGAGAATGGATTGTGGCGTCTGATACTGCAAGATGCATGAAAGAAGGTAGCATAGGGGTTGCACATGCAGCGTTCAAGATGGTAAGAGCACACACAGTAAGCGATAAAGAGGGATACATGTTTTGTTTACTAGAGATTTATTCTCCTTGTGGAAGAGATGGATTGTATTTATATACTTTCAGCATGCAAGCAACGCGAGAAATCCCGATATTTCATCGTACACAAAGACGTTTGAGTCATGTGTGCCTTATGCGTGTCGTTGTCGTTTTTACGTTGCACATTGCTTGGCATTGTCCATGCAACCTTATTGTGGCGTCGTTTTGTTTCCTTGCCAGATACGGATCAAATAACCTTTTACCATTGAAACGCCAAACTTTATATGTTTAGAAGATGTGAAAGAGAAAAGTGGCCTGTGTTATATCCAAGTTCGGAATCATTGATGTATTACGAGTCCGATGGATGGATGACAATTGTATCGGAAAAGTACTACCGATACATAAGAGTTTGTTCAACAAGGAAAGGTGTTCAATTGTATTAATAGCAAGTAAAGGACTACTATAATAGTATAACGGGTTTGTTGTTATCCTATGATATCGGTTGTTCGCGTGGTCGATATGCCTTCTAAACCTGGGAATCGGCGCCAAACTCATTTTCCAATCCAGGTTCCAAAAGGGCAGCGTGTCCCAAGATAACAATAGCAGCTGCGCCTAAAGAGTGACAAAACAATGGATCGGATCAGCCTCCACCATGTCCAGTGCTATCACGTGGTATGTCTCAATGCCAAGTCGTCTCATCTTACCAATAATCCAGAAAATGGTACCAGTCGCACCTGAGAATAACAAGAGCACCAAAGATGCGCCACAGTATGCTGCATAGAGAGATGAAGGAGAGATGCTGTTACCGCCAAGAGTGATAGGACCATCCTGTCGAGAGATCAAGTAGAAACCACCAAAGATGAAAGCAATGGTAAACAACAGCCACCAGTTGGTTACACTAGTGTCCATCACACACATATGCATGGTGAGTCAAAGAATGGAAATATGGAATGTAAACGCCACTTACACAGCATAGATGGACAAGCCTAGAACGATAAAGAAGTAGTTGGCCGCGAAATGCTGCAAGTTATAGCTACGACCCAAAGAATGAAGAATCAGTTGTCTGCCATTGGGATCTCGCAAGTCATCTGCCAACACACTTACTTCCAGCGCTTTGTGATTTCAGGGAAAGATGTCGTGAAGCTGATTCTGTTTCTATCGAAAAAGTCGCTCAGGGGTCGTACGTTGGCAAACTTCTCTTGCCGGATCTTTTTCAGGAAACCAAGCCTGGACTCGGCTTCTGTGGCGATGGTGTTTCCCAAGTGCTGAGCAGCTGTAGAGGCGGATACAAGGGGCTCGGATGTTGTCATGGTTGTTGGTGTGGTTGTGTAAGTAGTGTAAAGAAGGAGGAGAGAGAGAGAGAGAGAGTAATAACCGAAAGAGGATGATGGGTGGGTGGCCAAGCCCTTGGCATGTCCCAATATTAACAATTAGCAGCTGCTTCTCCAATCACATTCCTTCCTGTGTTATCCATCATCCACCCAGGCACACAACAATTATGTTCTTTAGCATCACACATGTAACACAGCACCATCCATCATTAGTTTCTATAATTTAGTATGCTTACAACAATAAAGCTAGGGATAGTAAATCATACATCTAATAATTGGAATAGCAACGTTGATGCATGCAGGAAGAAGGTACTGGATGGAGCCATCAATGTTTTAATATGCAAATGTAGATCACTATTCTTCATTCCTGATTCATGTTCCAGTACTATCACATGCAACAAAATCGTCCCAACTATGTAATGAAGCAATGTTGTCTTGTATTGGCGGCTCTTTTGGTATCCTTTGATGTGGAATGCGGGGTTCTTGATAAGTCACGTGCTTGCCATTTCAAAGCTCTAGAAAGAATAGCTTAATCAAGTCTCATATCAGTGCACTTTTTGATGCAAGAAAAGATGCTTTACGTTGATGATGAACCTCTTCCAAATGCTTTTGACAAGGATTTTATTGCGTACTTATATACAACATTATCCCTATCGATGTTGCTCTACTAGTTACAACGTGAATACAACAAGAAGATAAGGTTGTTGAGGGTGCATGAATGCAAGCATACGCTATGTGAAGTGCTGCCATGAGATCTATGCCCAAAGATGACGAGCTTAACGTCTGTCACATTCATGCAGGAACTTGAAGGTCGTTGTTAATGCAAAAGCAATATCTCGGCGGTCACACCAGCTGTATCCTTTTCTTCTTTGCCTTTGTCGTCTCCCGCTTTTACGTGCAACATATGATCACCCCCACTTTCAAAGTCGATCAAGACAATGACTCGGTCACGATCTGCATCAATACGCCTTATGTGAGAGTACGTAACCCGTGTTCAGCCTTGATCAAGCTGCGATCGCCGTATACCAATGACATTCCAATTCCAATAGGCTCAAGACGTTGATCTGCATGTCTCTGGCAGCGAATTCCGGTTCTTTTTGCGTCCCTACTTTCTACGGTAATACCATAGGCGAGTGTTGTTGTATGACGTATGATGCTGATAGTTTATTCTCTTCTTTTGGGGGAGGTGCTAATAGCCTTCATTTTCCGGGCAACCTTGTTGAAGACGATGACTCTCGTGCGACTTATGATCCCAGCTCTGGCCAGTTCACTGTCAAAATCTCCAAGGAAACCAAGGGCGAGCATTTTCCTGATCTCGATCTCTTGACCAAGTTATTGGCTCGAAAGGGTGAAGCATCGACTGATAAACCAAAAAAGCCATTGATCGAAGTCATTGGTGAAACATCCAGCGAAGAGCATCCACCTCGTGATCCTGATATCCAAGATGGTAAGAATGTGATATATAAGGTGTACTTTTATTAATGCGTATAATAGCCATCGATTTCAATTGGGAACTGCCACAGGATATGCCAAGTCAACAAGAGATTCTCACTAGCAGCTCAGCGTCCTATGGATTCAACAACCAATACAGCGGCTATTTTCAACATGTTCATGAAACAGCCAATGAGATCAACGATATCACTGAACCTGAAAAGTCAACCATCGACTCCCGGCGGCATGAACGTATTGAGATTGAGGATTTAAAGTTTGACGAGGATCACTATGCAATGGACTTCATCAGTGAAATGGATATTCAGCATCTCCTAAAGTACAAAACCATTTGGCACAAGGAACTTCGCCGTATACAAAAGAACAATACAAAGGAATCTGGTAATGGAGAAAAATGGTATGAGGGAGTCGTATGGAAGCACGTGCTAATGGTCCATGTAACATTCGTAGGTCCATTAATCCAGGAAGTGGGAACGCCAATGGATGGATTAGATATGAGCGCCCTATCAATTACGGATCCCAAAGAATCACTCGTCAAGTTTACCGCAAAAGACGATGCTATGATGCGTAACCTACCCAAGAAAGAATGTGAGTTTGTCTAATAAGGTGATGATGGATTTCAACTTACATGGATCCTAGACCTACTATCGAATGAAAAGAGCACATACCTCGGTCTTGTCGACCTGATATTTGCATACAGCTACAATCATCGCATGTTTGAAGGAGAGAATTCGGTTGAATCCGTATGGTGTATTGGAAAAGTGAGCCCAACGCTCTCATGCTTGGAGGTAAATCATTTCCATATGCTGCGAGTGTCGACACAAACACGCTAATCGATTCTTGTGATCAGCAATTTTCAACCCTGAAAGATGTGGTCATTGCCTGCTTCCGACGTGTATTGGCCTATCCATTGTACAGGAATTTCACACTATGTGAGAAGGTACTACAAGACGTCTATATCCTTTTTCGACTTGGCAAGCGAGCCCTCCTCAAAGCACTGTTGGAGATGAAGGACTTTTTCGATCATCACGATGTTTATTATGTGTACAGCAAAATCTGGCTAGATGATTACTGCACTTGGATTCAGCATGCAAGGTACGTTGGTAGTGGGAATAAACTGCGTCAATGGGAGGATATCATGTTAAGCCTTTACGAACTTAGTGATCACGTCCTACGAACATTGGCACATGAGCTGCATCACTTTACAGTCAATAAGAGCGATATTGGATGGGATCTTGAAGACATAGAGACGGTAAGTGTGTTTGAAAAAAGATGAGGAAGGTCGACTCTAAGAGATTGTACTTTATAGATTGCTCGACAAATGCAGCAAGAACAAGGAGAGGAAGAAGAATAGAATATACGTAATTAAGAGGCGGTGATGGTATCGTGACAAAGAAAATAGAAAATAAAAAGGAGAGAGACCAGCTCTACGATGTCACAGCTGTTGTTGTTGGGAGTGGTTTTTGTGATGCATAATAAAACCAACGCATGCATGATTTGTGTTCGTCGCATTCGGCAAATGCTTTTTCAATCACTCGCTTGACATGATCCGGGGACAAGTTATTGAATTCGCACATGAGAGGGATGTTGTTACGGAAACGGCGCACCATAAGGTCTTTGTTAAGATATCCTGTTTGTTTGAGTGCTGAAGGAGAAAGAATGAGCACAATCATAATGAATGAGTTTTTTTCTTTGTTACATACCTGGGATGGATGACCATTCGCCTAACGGCAATTCCAAAGCACGTTCGTCAATATCAATGAACCCTGCCTGCTTGAGATACTCGCCCAACCGATCCGTGATGTTGCGTTCAATGCCGCAGTTTGCAAAAATCTCGCCATACCAATGGTCGGCAAGAAACAGATTAGGCCCTGGATGCTGTACTTCGAGTTCCTGCTCATACAACTCAACCCATCCACCAGGTTTTAGCACGCGATACACCTGCGATAACGTTTCTGCCCATCGATGTGCTGGTGAATTGACCATCCATACATCACGCATCATTATGTAATCGGCGCTATTGTCTTCAAAGTCCTCAAATCCAGTACAGCCTTCATGGATCACGACGTTATGAAATCTCAAATTTTTCAAGCTGTCAGCGAGGCTTGGGAGTGTTGCGTTTTCATAGTCGATGCCAACCACCTCGCATTCAGGGAACTGTTGTGCCATTTCCATAGTCCACATGCCTTGAAAAGAAACACGAATCAATGAGCCTGATTCATTTTGACATCATCCATATTGTTGTTTACCTGCACCACAGCACCAATTGATAATAAGGGAAGGTGACTCGAGAGGTACTTTAAAGTTGCTTCGCCAAACATACTTTAAAAGATAGTGCTACAAGAATAAATATACATTGACTATTTATACCCTGCCGTATCCTGTGTATTCTTTCCCATGACGCAATTTACCTGACGCTGATGCCTGCATGAGCATGCAATAAAACAAGCGTGTGTGAGTGAAAAAGAGGAAGATTTAGGAACTCAAAACGGGCCCCTACCTGTCACGTTCCTTTCTACGCTGTGCATCGGATTCTGGCAACGTAAACAAATCCATCAGAATACGCTCGCTTGTGTTTTGTGGCTGATATGAGGTTGAATATTGCTTTTTCTTTTGCGAGGTGGAAGGTGTGGGTGATAATGCTGATAAAGGTGATGACTTTTGCTGATTAGGTACGCTTCCGGATGATGGGTGTACTTCATCCACGATCTTTTGTACGGCTTCTTTGACGGTGGTGCCACTTCCTGCTGAGGATAATCCTGTGTTACTTCCATTGCTTGCGGCACTAGCAGTATGAGCAGCGGCTAATACCATGGCGTCGCGATTGACCGCATCCCATCCAACAGTGGAGTCTGCTTTCCCAGAGTTTTTTGAGGTTGTTACTGATTCCGAGCTTTCAGAATTTGCGCTGGCAGCTTTATCATTGGGTGCTGTTTCTTCTTGTTGAATTTGCCTCTGTTGCTGTTTTTGCTGTTTTTGTTGCTGAGCTTGTTGACGCTTGATCCGATTCATTATTTGGTTCCCTTGTTGCTGCAAGTGTGATAGTGCAGGTCGTGTAGTGCGATTACTACTACCACCACTATTCTCCTTGACGCTGCTATTATTGCTTTGATGATCATCATCAGAAGATGATTTGGATTTAGATGTTTGGTTGGAACGGTAGCGAAATAAATGGGCACTGGTGCGCCGTCCTCGACCATGGTTGTCTTGGTTGTTACGATGTCGTGTGAGTTTGCTTTCGGTGGATCCCATCTGGCTATAAGGAGCCTGGCTTCTTTTGCATGCTCGTGAGGTAAATATATAAAGGTAAGGTGTGTGCAAAAGAAAACGGTAAACAAGGGAAAAAAGTGAGAGAACGAGAGAAAGAGAGAGAGAGGGAAAAAGAGAGGGAAAATGAAACCCTCGCGATGCTGCATAAGGAGGCGCGGTATTTCAATTCGCTTGTCTCTTTATTTTGGCCGGGGCATTTTTGCTTTCTTTCTCGATAGATCACATCATCGCTTTTCTTTTCTATTGTCTTTCATGCCATCCACAAACACCCGCCCGCCCATATCGGGTTTAAAACGCCCATCATTGGCAGCGGGCACATCCTTTGAAGCTTTGTATACCGCTTCTTATGTGGCTCCAGACACATGTATCAAGCGGTCTGCATCCGATACTTTCATTGTTCATCGTGCAAGGGAGCAACAACAGCGTGCTCGTCAAGAAGAAATGGCTTTGCTCGCTCAAAATCAACATGACCAAGTGGAAATGCTATCGTTGTGGCAGCTTTTATGTCTTACAATTTGCATGGCCGGTGTTCAATTCACATGTAACACAATTAAATCGGCTGCATGAATATTGTCTAACCACCAACAATATGTTTGTGGGACGTTTCTCACCAATAGGGACCGTTGAGCTTGCATATGGGACACCTTATTTGCTATCATTAAAGTTGTCCAAAGACATGACGGCTCTGGTTTGGCTTGCAGGTCCACTTTCAGGTATGTTAAACAATGAAAGGCTGAGGGACTTTTGACATGATGCACAATTGCTTACTACAAAATGATGTATTATTGATCATCACCAGGCCTTGTGATACAACGTAAGCTCATTTATTGGATGAAGACAAGATGTCATGTTGAAGAGTCACTAACTACTTTGCAGCTTTAATTGGTGCATTCAGTGATCGATGTACGTCAAGGTTAGGAAGACGAAGACCTTTTATGATCGGTGGTGGCATCTTTGTATGCTTATCCATGTTATGCGTTGCCTATGCCAAAGAGATTGGTGCCTACATCATTAGGTTGTCGGATACCAGAGACATACCAGAGAACATAGAGGAACAAGTGAGTGGATTCATTACGAATTTTATACGTCAAGATGTGTTCACACGTGTGTCATTTCTACTACAGGAACGTCGGGCAGCTATTGTGGTGGCTGTCTTGGCATTTTATACCCTTGATTTTTCTCTCAATGCGGTACAAGCATCCTGCAGAGCACTGATTCTCGATATTCCTCCATTATGGCAACATCAGCAAGCCAATGCATGGGCTGCACGATTATCAAACGCGGCCATGGTGGTCGGCTATTTCACAGGATTTGTGGATCTCGTCAAGGTGTTGTCATTTTTGGGTGATACGCAGATCAAGGTTTTTTGTATTGTGGCCATTGCAGTGTTCATCGTGACCATTTCGATCACTTGTATCAATACGCATGAAAAGAACATCAGCTCAGAAGATGGGAATGATGAAGACGAGAGGTGAGTCGTTGTTGTGTCATCATATTCGACAACACACTCACACCTTCCGCCATTGTTGTTGCATAGCAACCACTGGTACGACACATTTATCTATGTTTGGAAAGCACTACGATCATTACCCACGCCTATTCAACGGCTTTGCAATGTCCAATTCTTTGCTTGGCTTGGGTGGTTTCCATTTCTTTTCTATAGGTAAGCTTTATATATATATATTGAATGGGGGACATAACAGCTAAAGAATGATGGTAGTACAACGTGGGTTTCTGATATCTATTTTCGCACGCATCCAAAGCAAGATCCAGGATCATGGGCGAAAGGAACACGTGCTGGATCATTTGCATTGCTGCTCCATGCCATTGTGTCAGTGTTATCCGGGATGCTATTTCCATGGCTGATGTCGATCAAGTCATGCGGGAATCTCTTTAGTACCAAAAACATTTACACAGCTGGTAATTTGATCTTTGCAGTGTCAATGCTATCCACTATCTTCATCACCAATGTTTGGGCTGCTACGGCCATTGTTACCATTGTTGGTATTTCGTGGAGCATCGTGTTGTGGATTCCTTTTGCTTTGGTGGGCGAGTACATTAGCACGATTGGTGCAACTTCGGATCATTCGTCTCCTGTTATCCGGTCACCTGCATTTTCTCAAAACCGTGAAATTGGGAGCAACGCAACGCTTGCTTCATTATTGATTGAAGAGTCATCCAACGACGAAGCTACCAGTTCCAGGGCATCACATACCAATTATGGAGCCATTCATAACAACGAGAACAATGACCCTGTATCCAGCACCCATGACACTCACGATGAAGCGGATGCTTTGGTGGAGGAAGAAGGATTGGATGCAGGAATGGTATTGGGCGTACATAACATGTACATAGTCTTTCCACAATTTGCTGTTGCCATCATTGCATCTCTCATTTTTCGAGTGGTGAGCTGGGTACAACATGGAAGAGCCGACAAACCTATCGATAACGACAATGAAGGTGGTGTCAATGTTGCGTGGGTACTCGCCTTTGGTGGTGTCATGAGCTTTGTGGCCACCATCCTAAGTCGTCGCATTATCCAAGTGCCTAATGATGCTCCTCGTTCCCCATTGCGATTATTCATGGACGATAGAGTCTCCATTTGATCGTTCATAGTGTGTATAATTTATTGTATGTACAAAGATGATAGCTGTAATATATATCCATTCTTTTTCATATCATCCACGTCCACCACCACGTCGCCTAGATCGAGTGCCACTTGTATTGTTGCTACCACTAACAGCGGGTGAGGCCCCTTGTTGCTGCCAATTGGCTCTTCTCTCTTCCAATATCCGTGCCATTTGTGCATCCACCTCCTGTTGTACGTGAGGCACCTTTTGTAGACCATGCGATGTTCGCAGCTGATTCACTCGATCTAATAAATCATTGCTGGATAAGCGATAAGGTCCCTAAGACACACGTTTTCTTGACACTTGCCATGTAATGGTTCATATTCCTGATTCCGTACTCGGTTGACAGTCTGCTGCAAATCATCACGTTCTTTGACCAAAGAGGCTTCAGCTTCTGTTGTCTAAAAAAGTGGCCGATGTCAATACCAATACTGCATAGACGCCATCCATCCATATCACATTATCACTTGCCGCTTCAAGATCACGTTGAACGTTTTGTATCATATCCAACAACATCCGTTTTTCCTTTGTCAGTCGTTGTCGTTCTGAAATGACTTCCTCCAAGAGGTGCTGCTTGTGTTCCAGCGATTCTGTCTTTTGCAAGAGGTTGGCTTTACAATCGATCAACGATTGAGTAAGGCGTCTATGGTCATATCGCATAATCAGACACTCAGTTTCACGCGTACACAAGCTTCTATTTGACGTACTGGAGATTCTTTAAGGATTCCCGTTGTTGATCAGCATCGGTGGAGGGCTCCATGGTGGTGAGTTGTGTGGTGGTAGTGGTGGTGGTTGGCAGAGGAGGTGCAACTGTAGAATTTCCGCCGCTTGGTGCTTGTCATAGCCCACCTATCTAGTCCTTCTATCACAGAGCAACATCAGCTAGGCACCTATCATTATTACTATCTATGAATACAGAGCTGTTTGATCTTCATTGTAAATCGATAAAAGTATCATTTGGGCAATATCATCTTTGTTCACCCTTGTATACGGTTCATCCATCATGTGATAATGCATGAATCCACTCGTTTTGGCATACATTTACAGAAAAATGGTGGATGAGGAGAATCCTTTCTCATGCTTTATCTAATCAGCTAACATTTAGAAGGATCACAAGATGTTTGATTAAAGTCATCCAGTGAGAAACAGAGTACGTTGCCATGGACACCGTAAAGGAACCCCTCTTTGGATCAATGCCCATTTATGGTCTCCAATGACATTTCTTTTTTATATAACATGCAGCAGTGCATCCTATCAATTGTGCCCTTTACATATAGCATAGGATAGCTATCCATCATATCCATCAAAGAGAAACAAGCAATGGGAGGTGGTATCTCAAGTGGCTTGTGTCTACTTGGGTGGAGTCAAATTGAAATGGGTGATGCTCAGCTACCCGTTGCATCTCCTCCTCAACCATGTTTGGCATTTTGAGTATGTATCCTGCGTTTATTATGAACACCCATACAAAGAAAGACTAACGAGTACAATTACAGCTGCTGCTGCACGCAATGCTTTTGCTGTGAAGCCCCAAGGACAAGCGGCCCGTGGCATGGCCTACAAGCTCAAGTCGCATTCAGGTGCCAAAAAGCGGTATGCATTCAACACTACGACCAGTCGTTTTATGCCCATGGCATTGACTCATGGACCCCTTTCCTTAGATTCTTCCCTACGAGCAATGGCAACTTTAAGCGTTGGAAGGTTGGACTTCGCCATTTGAACGTGACCTTTTCACCCGAACGTGTCAACCGTCTCAGTCGTTCAGTCTTGGTCAACAACACACAAAAGAAGATGCTTCACAAAGTCTTGCCATACAAATAAACAACCACACAGCATTGCATACCACAATCAATGTATTCTTATTATCAGCAGCATGTTCAATCAATGATATCATCAGCCGAGTGGGATGAGGATGTTGATATGGAGATTACGAGATGCGTATTGTATCATGATGGGACAAGAGTGATGGTGATATCCAAGAAGAAGGGGCCTGTCAACTATTATCATCTTCAACACTACTACTCCTCAACACACAACATATCACAGGCGGTTTGAAAAAGCATGTGCTGCCCCGGAGTTTGGGTCTGTGAAACGGAGGGGAGTGGAAATAAGACATGTATCGCCACTTTGCAATTACTTCTTTCTTTCCCCCTTTCCTTCCTTTCATTTTGCTTACGTCTTGGTCTTTCCTCCTTTCTTGTGCTTGATACCCTTCCAATGTCCGATACGCTTCAACCAAAACATCGCTCATCATCCTACCAACGCCTGAAAGCCAAACTGAAGCGCAACCCTTCCTCATATACAGCCGTCGACAAGAAGGATTGGCCCAGACCACAAAATGTAACCGATCTACTGATTCATGCAATCAAAGGAGGAGGCAGTTACGTATATCGATCGATACAATCAATTCAATCCACAGCAGCACACGTTCAACTGACATGTCTTCTATAGGAGCATTCCTATTGGCATATGGTATTCGAGCTGGTGTTATCTTTTGTTTAAGCCTGCTACGAGTGATCCGAAAAAGGTATATCAGTTATCGGCATCAGGAAAGGGGAGGCCCTGTGATAAGAGTATTCATGCATCATGTGCGTTTATTCAGGGCTGCGTTCGGCAATATCATTACAGCATCGCTTAAAAATGAGACGGCATTACGATTTGCTGGCATGTTTGGAAGCTTTGCATTCTTATGGAAACTAGTCAACAATGGCATGCGGATTTATCGTGACAAGGATGATCGTTTGAATGGATTGGTCGCTGGTGCCGTTGCTGGATTGGCTATTTTATGTGAAAAGCAAGAGAAACGGGTGGATATTGCACAACAGCTTTTTGTCAGGTAAAGGAAGTGGTGTTGCCGTGTGGATTTAAGCTGATCACAAGCCTTCTTGGATAGAGCTTTGCAAGGCGTCTACAATGCTGGCAAGGCAAGGGATATCTTATACTTTAAACATGGTGATGCACTTTTGTTTGGCTTGGCTTGTGGTCAAATTCTATACGCATATACGGTTAGTCATTGGATATGGACGTATTCCAGCATGTGGGATTCTCACCCCATCTTGTTACAGATGCAACCACACACTTTGGACCCTGGATATTACAACTTCATGGTTAAAACAGCACGTGTCCCTGGTGACCTTCTCATCCTCAATGAAAAGAACGTACGTGGATTCCCAGTCAGCCAACAAGAAGCCTTAGCAGCGGTCAACAAATTTCGCCCCACAAAAAATGCGTTGGCAATCACCAAAGCCATGCCAGAGTATCCAGCTGCCATTCCTTGTGAGATGATTCACCCTTGGGTGGATGGATGTCATAATACGGCTGTCGAACGATTCCTGAAGGTATGCCAGGCCATGTTTCCAGTCTATGGCACATTGCATTTTGTACCAATGCTATTACTTCGCACCAAACATCTTCGCAAAGAGTAAGTGAAATCCATATTGTGATGATGGGATGGGATGACTCACACTATAAAACAGCCCAAAAGGTATGCTTGCAAAGACATCCCTCGCCACCCTCAAGTCATGTGCCTTTCTCGGTCTATTCGTCATGCTCTATCAATACCAAGTCTGCATGCATCGCAAACTCATGGATGCTGGTGTGATCAGCAGTAACAGCAAATACTTTTATGGCATCTTTGGTTTCGTTTGCTCGTTCTCATCCATCTTTTTGGAGGAAAAGAAACGTCGTGGAGAATTGGCCATGTATTGCTTGCCCATTGCTCTCAAGAGTGCATACCAAATTGCCTATCAACGCAAATGGATTATCCATATCAAGCATTTCGAGGTGATGATGACTAGCGTTGCCATGGCTATCATTATGGTAAGTTGCATGGTTACGGATGGGATGTTGTTGTTGGAGGATGAGGATGATTTATTTTGTACAATTAGTCTTTTTATCAAGAAGAGCCCGATGTTTTATCCTCTTTTGTTCGAAAGATCATGTATCAATTCTTTGGAAAGAACTAAAGATTCATATGTATATATACAAATGCAAGATTACAAGTAGAATGTGTCAATCTAGCTATGTTTTTTTGGGGGGTTGATTATATGCAATGACTTTTTGTATGCGTATGTGCGGCAAAAGGGGAGCCAGCCCGTCGAATGACGCGGGTATCGGATGGTGTGTGTGGGGAATATTGAGCGTTGTCGGTGATGTTGTTGTTGTTGTATCTTTTTCACTGGGCGGCGATGGTGGAAAGAGGAATTTGCATTTGAGTGAGTTGCAAAGAATAAACGAGAGGCGAAGGTGCTAATAGTCGTTTCTTATCGTATGCACCATCGTCATTAGATGAATGATTGATAGGGCTGACACGGGTCAGTGCACCGTTGACTTGACATAGATCAGCGCCGCTTGCAGCCACGGGAATAGTGGCACCTTCTGAGATGCCTTTTTCGACTGTGAACACAAAATCTTCGCGATACTGATTACGACGTAACAACGAGCATTGGATTTGACGGCGGTGGTCAAACATGGTTTTGATCTGAATAGGCTTTTCCATTTCAATCTTATAGGTGACTTGACGAGTCTTTGTATCAAAATGAGTAGCAGTGGCATTGGCTTGATCAAGATGAACCTATCAATAAAAAGCCATTGAGTGATTTGACTCTTTTAATTTATGATAGAATGGGTACTTACCAATACACCCCAATCATTCTTCAATGGACCGGTAGTAATGCGATGTTCAATCTCCCAATGACAAAATGCTTGCATGGATTTACAGGTACGCTCAGCTCGTACGAGATCGGCCAGCGATAAGTATTTGAGAGTATGGATGATGATTTCTGGTGGTAGTAAATCCATTGTTGTTTGTAGTAGTTGAGTATGCTGAAAAGAACAATAGAATGCCGAAAAGTGTGGGGGAGAAATAAAAAAGAGGGGTATTGGATGACAACAGAAGGCGGAATGATGAACAAGACCATGGGTCTCGGAGAGCTTTGTATTTATATCCCTTGAGATGAACCAGCCAAATATGGGAGTATGGTGATGTTTATCGATCGTTCAGTGGGCTGTCAACTCATCATCCAATAACAATTTCAGGGCTGGGATGCAGTTCGTGTCGGAGTCCATGTTTATCTCGGGGGACAAGTTGGTCTTTTGCAGAAAATACACCCATTGGGAGACATCCACCCTCCGAAGCTCTTGCGGCGCTTAAACGATGATTTGATGGCTTGATAACGGGATAGCGTTAGGCACCATCAGGTTCAGTAACGTGGTGCACCCTGCAAATGACGTAACGCCACTTGATAACGTTGTCATCCCGATCCCTTTCTTAGTTTCATGACAAGATGCATAAATTTATATCCTCATGTGATCCATCAATGATAATGAAATTGGTCAATTCTCATTCAATGCTTATAAGAGAAGGTCTGCATATGTCTATGTGTATGTTGATGATGATGGTGCATATGCATTAGGTGCATGTGCGCTGGTAGAAAGAAATTGGGTGGTGGTGTGCTGTCAAATCAGCCAAATCACGTTCCTTTTTCCTTTTCCCTTTTCCAGTAATTATGGTCAATATCGCAAACGAGGCAGGCAGTTTCTTCCAAACCGACGCCGAGCTCAAGAAGCAAAAAGAGAAAGAAGCAAAGTACAACTACACTGAAGGCGAATGCATTCAACTGTCAACCAAAGCCTTGGGCCTCATCGTCTTGCAAAGCGGCAAATACGCCTATGTTGCTGAATCTGGATTCAATGCCAAACGTATCAATCTCGAGGCAAGATTACACTCATCCAAGAGGATGCAACATTGTGGACGTCATTGGAGCTGACGCGATCTCATTTAATAGACTCGAAAAGCAGTAAAGCTATTCAAGGGACACTCTGGCCCTGTGACAAGTTTAGCACTATCATCGGATGGGGGTACTCTTTGGACAGGATCATGGGACAAGACCATTAAAAAGTGGGATACCAAGGTAAGGTGTCACTTTTGTCGAATGAATGCATAGCTTAACATTGAGCGTGGGGATATTCATCTTGTTTCATAGACTGGTGAATGCGTTGCTACATTGCATGGACATACCGATTTCGTCAAATCATTGCTGTTGGTTGGCTCCACACTTTATTCGGGCTCCTCCGACACCCATATCCGTCAGTGGAACACTGAAACAAATGAATGCATTGCCACGCTCAAGAAGCATTCACGTGCGATTGAAAGCTTAGCCGTTGATACTCCTGGTCGCTACTTGTATGCTGCTTCATCGGATCGTTTGATATCAAAATGGGAGATCGCTACCAACAATTGTATCGCCACATTTGATGAACATGATACAAGCGTGTATTGCGTACGTGTGTGGGATGATGAAATGTGGACTGCGTCCGCTGACAAGACCGTACGTCGATGGAATACAGAGGTATGATATCAAATTCCCTTTTTTATATGTATATGGCATTAATCATCTATATAGACTGGAGTCGTGGATACAGTGCTTGAACATCCTGATCGAGTCAAATCGGTAACGATCGTGGGGCCATATGTAGTTACTGGTGCAAGCGATGACAACATTCGCGTCTGGGACATTGCAGTAGGTCACACGAACAACTATTTAGTCTAATCGAGGTTTTAATTTTTGGCGGGTGTTTTATAATAGTCTGGAAAGCTTGTTTCAACCATCCGGGGTCATTTCGATGAGGTGGGGTGCTTGGATGTGGTGGGCACCACCCTATTCAGTGCTTCTCTTGATTGCTCACTCCGACGTTGGTCTATCACACGTAAGTTTGAAGCATATGAAAACTGCAATATATGGCAAAACCCATGCTAATCCTACTACATACTATTGTACAACCCTATCAGCCTCTGCATTGAAAGAATACAACGATAAGCCTTTACGGGTCCCAGCTGAAGAAAAGGAATCCACCGGTCTAACCGAAGAAGAGGAACGTGAATTGGCAGAATTGATGGGAAGCGATGATGATGAATAACTTGATTTGACACTTTTCTCACACGCCAACATGCATATTACATTTCCATTGACATTCCCCAAGATAAAGCCCTTGTTTTATTTTCCAAATTTAAACTTTTTCAATCCATTTGTGAATTTGTTGCCTGAAGAGCCCTTATCTCTGTTGAGTTGACTCATCCGATAGCGTTGGGCATTCTGAGCATCAGCACGATAAGCTGCACCAAGTCCTTCCAAGTTGTCATTCCAATCATCATCATTGATCCGATGACCATAAGTACGTTCTTTGAGTTTCTTGGTATAGGATCCAACGACGGTGGCAAAGTAAAACTATTGCGTGTATGCGTGTTGTGTGTAAGCAAATCAAGCCAACCCCTATTTCCCTCAACCCCCCAAATGATCATTACCATGGCAATTTGTCCAACAAAGAGAAGAATGGCTAAACCAATAACACCTGCTTGCACCGCCTGTGCACAATTGGCCAAGCCATAAGTGCTTCCTAATTGCATACCCAGGAACGTCGTTTTGTATCCAGCAACTGAAACAGATTGATCACCACCGCCACCTTCACCCTGATCTGGGTTGGCCTCATCACATGCATCTTGGCTTTTGGATCGATTGACAAGGGCAAGGATAAAGGTAATAGCATCCCAAATGGTCAAGATGAATACGAGACACACCCAAAAGAGAAGCTTGTAGAGTCGCATCAATGCAAGTTTGCCCTATCACGTATTGCATTATGAGTCCAACTCAGTCAATTAAAGAGTAAAAAGGTACACCACTTACCGCTGCACTGGCAAGGATGCCATATATGCCGATCACTGCAGTTGCAACTACGCACAAAGAAAACAAGGTGGTAACACATTGTGTGAGCTTTTCAACGTTTCACCAGCGTCGCTTTGTGTGGTTCCTCGCTCCTTTTTTTCCACTTACTGTATATAATAACCGCTACCCACGGCAGCACAGCATGGATAACGGATAGATGCATGACCATGGCTACAACATGAGGTGTAAGTACATTGGCAAAGGGCGTGAGAGATGAGCTGAATGGCATGCTTACGATTCATGTGTGCAAATGTAAGGGCTACCAAGAGGGCGGAGACAGCCTAATGTTCCTCGAGTGTCAGATCACGAAATACAGCATATACGGCATGAGGCATTGTCGCTTACAGCAATGAGGATACTAAGGATAACGGCACCTCCTCGTAGTGGAAAGATACAGCAGCATCGTCTAGGCATGTTGAAAAGGTATGTGAAGGAAAAAGAGGAAAAAGAGAAACTGCAGAGAGAGACAAGACGAGTTGGTTCGGATCTAGTCCTTTTTCCAAAGTAGCCACGTTTGGTAAGCGGTTCGTCATTACGCACAATGCAACTTGAAAGTGATAGACAAGGATATGCAATAAGATGATCATCAACATGGCCTCGAAAATGGAAAGTTTTTGATTTGGTTCCCCTGGATACGGTGGATGGAGATGCCCTGGATACCAACATCGTTTACTCGTATTGATCTTTATCAACATGCGCTATGGTCTCAAGAGCAACATTTTATTCAAGTCAGTAGCACGGTCGGATCACCATCATCAGCCAAGAATTCGATCATCGATCCCATATTGGCTCGACCGATTGGCCTAGCCTCTTACGACGTATTCCCCGTCTTCAGCCACACACTCACGTAGATATCACCAAAGGGCATGAATAAAACGACTCTTCACCTACAAATGCATGTGACCCAGGTCGGCATTATATGCTATTTTCAGATTTGCAATGATTGCCAAGTTTTATTTTCTGCATAAGTGTATTGGGCCTCTTCTGTAATGTCCTTGCCTCTTCGCCTTCTTCCTTGCTCGTGCTCTTGAGAACTTCTTTCCATACTTGATGCCACCATTATTCTTTGACGGCCTTGGTATCGTTGCCATCGTAGGGTAGTGTAGCGTTGGTCGTATTGTGATAGTAATAACGGTAAAAAGCGGAACAATTGAACAAATCATATAACAGCAACGTTATGTGGATGGGGGATGTTGTCAAGAGGTGGATCAACAAGGGCATATATACAACTTTTCAACCTTGCGTGTTCCATGGATTACGAGCTCCTAGCCGTGCCAAAGTGCTGTCAATGCTTCAAAGTGGTTGATCAATCGCCGCTGTGGCAACCTATACTCGATGGCCTTGATTGTTGCCACTCTTCGGCTTTTGTTTTTGCAAACAGCCTCATCGATGGACTTGGTACTTGCATTCATTGGGATGGTATCCTTGGATACAATACCGTCCTTGTATGTCTGAGACTCTGATTCGGACCTAGATTGAATTCGGTTAAGAGCGAATAATGGTGGAAGCAAGCAAAGAAGCTACCTGACAACAGTGCAATTGTCTTCAAGCATGAATGCTGTATCGAACATTGGGCCATACACGAAAATGCGCCACCATGACTCCAAGGAACTTGTGTACGACTGTGGCTGCTGTTTCCAGAGAAGGACGCTGTAACCCTTCTTTAGTAAATGCACATCGTGTTCATGATAAAGGGTACTTACGCGCGTTGAGTTGCAGTCCTAATGTAGTCAAGACCACAAGTTACATCATCTTTGTTGCTAAAACATTCCTCCATAATCCGCTGTACATCGCTTCGTAATTTTGCTGAATACGGGCAATCAAGGAGGCTTCTTCATGTGTAAGCGCAAACGAGAACTTGAGGCTCTTCAAATGCTGTTTCACGACCTTGGCTTTACCATATGGGAGTACCATTTTCATCAAGGTCGTCATCATTTCCTCCACTAAAGAAAGAACTGTTAGCCACTAATCATCGCAAATGAATGTAATCCTTAACTTACCATTCGTTGTATAAAAGATCCAATTGTCGCTTCGCTTATAGTCTTATGAGCTTCAAAACCCGGCGAGCATGTTTCTCAATGTCTCCATGGGCTGTCGTCAGCGTTCTATACAATGAAATCAATAACTTCATCAAAACCATTCAATGTGGATATTACCTTGCGTTGACTCTTTTTCTTTGGCGGATCCTTTTAGGTATGTTGGCTTCCATTGACAAGGTACCCGCTGCTAGTTGTAGTTACATACCAGACTCGCCATCGACGATGCCCTGTGATGCGGATATCTTGTTGTACAAGGGCTTGAGGATCATCTTGAACCTTGCGCTTTAGGACGACTATAGCGTGAAGCATGTACTTATGTTACCAACAAAGAAGTCTCGACTTCCCCATCAGTCTACGTAGCTAGCCCTATCCGCTTCGTCTCCTTTCAAAGTGTCTCTCGTTTCCGGGAAACGGACATGGGCCTAGTGGTATACTGATTCAATGCATACACGTTTAGAAATGCATGAAAATGCACACTTGCTGCATCCTTTTAATATATAAGTGATAGCCGTAGCTAACCCAAAGGGTTCATCAAGGAACACAGCGTAAAGCAATGATGTGAGCTATAGGTAACAAAAAAGACGAATGCATGAGCAATCTCATTTTGTGGATCACATAATAAAGACTATCCTTGAGACTTACCAAAGGCCATTGATGATGCTACGCATACAAGTAGAAAGAAAGGGCGTATGATAGTGTTCGTGACAACAGCCTTGTTTATATGTGGGTGGGCGTGGGTATTGTTGTCATGATAGATTGGATTGATAAAATGGGTCAAGCATCTTGGAATGATGGAAAATCAACATTGATAAATCCACCTGCTGCTTAAAGGTGATGTTGTGTAGGTGACATGAGCTACTGCGGACAACTTTATGAGTCCCTCCGGCATGACAACATGATCAAGGGGATGGATGGACATGAAATGATTCTTCTTTTTTTTATTGTAATGGTATCGAATAAAGAAACAGCATGGTTCTATACAACACAATATGTATTTACAATCATCATGGATGAGTCTCAGCAGGCACGTAGAGCGTGATAGTTCGTGTGGGTAATGGTTCTTTGCTTCCTCCCTTATACTCGACAACACGCGCAAAAGGACAAAGTAGCTCGGATGGATCAAAGTTGTACTCTGGACCTGGTACGCATGCTGACACTTCCTTTTGCAACTTTTTACCACGATCCGCAAGTTCTGTGAGCGTGGCAGGCTTGCCCCACATACCCAATGTTTGGAGATCCGACCATTCTGATAAGAGTTGTCGAGTGAAGACACCTTTAGCATCCTTTTCAACAAGGGGTAGCGTATACAACTGAACCATGCTGACAGGTGTGGGATGGGAGTGATCGGTGGATAATTCAAGACGTGTTGCAAAGCTGGCACCGTTGTCAAGGTTGGGATAAAGCATGACGTTGCCACGCAAGTAAACAAGCTCATCCATGTATCGACGCCAAGAATGGATCCATTGACTCGATCTTAAATTGGGTACTTGGATATGTTGAAGTTGCTTATCAAGATGATCGGCTACGCGTGCATTCATGTAATCATGAAACTCTCGCCAATGCTCAGGGAAATAAATAGCAGCACCTAAGCTTGGTGGTACTTGCATCAAGTATCCCTTGCTTCCACTATCAGAGGATGATGGTGCTTCAAAGAGTTGGCGATCGCTGTCGGCTGCTGTATCAAGAATACGTGGAGCAGTCAAGCTGATGCCATAGAGGTGATCGTTCTTGTTGGTTGCTGTGTAGCGGTATTTGAGGATAGCATACTTGGCCCAGATATAGAATAAGGGTGAGAGTCGCATGCCGTCATCCAAAATGATGGCGTATTCGCTGTTGGTGGATGGATACCATGCTTCCACAAACATGGATGCTCGTTCGGTGGGCACAATACGATGACGAATATCCCTAAGACCATGTTCCCATTGCACTCCTTGCACTGCTGTTTGTGTTCTCACATCCGAACTACTTTCCATATACAACATGAGGTCCACACGATCACCCAAGTATTCGGCATTGTGAATGGATTCGTAAAGATGCATAAATGACTCCGCATGGTGCTTTTCAGTTGTCAAAATCACTTTGAGTGTGAAATCGTGCCATTCTAAAAGAAAGTGGGAGAGTATGTGTGAGATGATGATAGTCTTATTATTATTGCTCAACCTCTTCACTTACTGGAAAGCGTCTCCACTGGCAATTCTGTAATCCATGACAAGTGTTGAAGGCTTTGGGTTGGTAAACCAATCATCGTGGTGGATCCATCCATGAGCAAAACCTTTGTGTATTCCAATGCATGCTGTGCTGCTGAGGAGGCTGATGGCTGCGTGTAGAAAAAGAGCTTGGATTGTGTGATACGAATGATCTGCATCAGCTGTTGCACTAGTTCAGAGGTATCCAAATCTGTGGAGCCAATGTCGAGATGATGTATACGTGACAATGGTAAGGATGGACATTGATGGCGGATGTCATTGTCGGTGATGGTCACAATGTGAACAGCTGCATTGTTATTATCTTGGTGTTGATGCATATCACATGCAAGCTGAATCCATTCATTATTCGTATCACTGACAAAGAAAATCGCTGCCTCTTTTTGCTCATCTTGGTTCTCCAAAGGGAATTGGTGGCCAACAAGTGCATTTGGATGTTGTTCAATGTAGTTGTTGAATGCCGCACAATGGTCGTCATGGTTACGTTGTTCCACACGATAGTCGGCGTCATTTGTTGTAGGAAGACCAATCAAGGGGATGCCTGCATGTTTGTTGATACTCAAGCTAATCCAGTAGCCCAGAGCGTTGTTGTCTGCAGGGGGGATTACATCTTCTTTCATCAAGGCTGCGAGCCAATGTCGTCGTAAAAGCCACGTGTAATGAATGGTTTGTGCTGAATGTGTTTGTTGTTGTTGATGTTGCTCAATGGCTTTGCATGCAATTTGGCCATCCAATTCATGTTGTACCAGAGTAACGGATGTCGATCCCAGCAAGGTATTTTTGTATTCATTGGTGTGTGCTAATTTAAGCAAAAGGTCCAAATAACGAGAGCCTGGAACGACACCCTTATCAATGAGCCAAACAAAGTCTGTAGCAGGCACCGGTAACCAGCTGCTCTTGTCACGAACCAAGACTTGAACAATACTTGGAAAACTCTGTTGTTCCACAATCCTCCGCTCGTCCTCCGTGGTACAAATGATCCACACAGCAACAGGAGCAACAACGGATGGCTGTGGTGGTTGTTGGGTAATCGCCTTGATCTGCATTGCAACCTCCTCATTGTATAACACAATTGCAGTGACTCCTGGTAAGGACGTTTCATCCACATTGCTCACAAGTTGATTCAATTGCGTCCATGTATGATGTCGTTCAAAAGAGGGTGTTGATGAAGAAGAAGATGAAGATGCTCCTGCTGATGATGATGATGATGATGTGATACATGGATATAAGGTTGAGAGACATTTAATCAATTAATCGATGTCACCATAAATACATGTATCCATCCATACATCCCTTTTCACATACCTGATAGTAATAAAGTGTTCAATGTATCTTGGTCTAATTGCTCTGACACATCCGGGTATTGAACAATGTCAATCTCAGCATGATGATGGTTGCTTGGTGCCTTGTCGTCGTTGGGTCGTACATGAGATGATGTCCATGCAAAATAGGAGGTCGCCAGGAGCACAATGCATGATAAAAGAGCACCAGCAAGCAGTGTGAGTGTTTGTCTGGATCGTTGTGGTTGTAATAGTACTGCCATGAAGAAGTTGAAGGAATCTCAATGAGGAAGAAGAGGAATGGGAGAGAGAGAGAGTACGTGGATGAGATGAGTCAATCTATGCAATGAGCATATGGAATAAAGAACAAGAAACAAGAAAAGTATGAGGGAGGAGAAGAGAAGAAGAGAGACACTTTAAAAAGTAGAATTCCTGGAAATTGCAATTTGATTTATTCCACAAAAGGCCCTTTTGACTCACGATGGGATTCTTACCTGGTTGCCATGCAACGTACTGCAAGTAAGGCGCTGATCTTGTGACCTGTTGCATGCCTTTATTTAGGGGCACATGCATACACACATTGCATGCTTATTACTGTTATCCTTTTAAGTGTTGCCCGATAATCAACATGATTACTATTACCACCACCACCACCACATTTATGTATTCAGGAACATGGGCGTAGGACCATAAAAGTAGTATCTCCCAATCCACAATGCTTCTTTTCAACGGTCAATGGCTGTTCAATGGATGGCAGTCAATTGGATGTTGTCAACAACGAGTAACGTGGTATCCTATCAATTGAAGTGAACAGAACACCAAATTAGCTTTTGTACAAGGGATCGACGTCCCAAATGGTGGGACCCGATCGAGTTCTTTGAGATGTTTTTGAAGCGGCGAAATAACAAACATCTTGTTTTTTCGTCTTCCATAGGTCCCCCACAACTAAGCAGGTCTAACTGAATACTGCTAAAGTTCATTTTACTTTGGAATGGTGGTGATTTACTTTTTCATATTGCAAAACATTGGGTAAATGCCGACCATGGATTACTCGATGGATGTATAAAGGTATGCATGGTAATTAGCGGGGCGTAATTGATGATTTGAAGGCACTAGCAATGATAAAAGTCTACTGCTACAATATGGGTTATTGCTGCTGATTGTAATACTGAGTAACAAAAGCGGACCGAAGACCGGTATGAATAAAATGACAGCAAGCTAAGTCAAGAATGTAGAAGGATAATGAGGGAAAGGGAAGGTGACCACCTGGTGGTGGCTTGTCAGGGGGAGGAAGAGAGATTGTATTGAGCCAAAAGCATCACACTCACACACGCACACACACACACACAACACACACTCCACGTTGTGAAACCCGCCCTGTTGCCCAGATGACGGGCGTAGCCATTTCTTGTAGGTCTTGTCTCAAGCGTAGCCTCGTTTATACCCTTTTTGCGTGAAGCTCCTCTCTCTCTTTCTCTTTGATTTTCGCTCTCTCTCTCTTTCTCTCTCACTTTCTTTCTTTATATACACGTCCCTTCTCTTTTGCTTTCTTCTTTTGTTATTCCACACCACACAACGAGCAGTATGCTCGTCAACTGAACTCTTCAACTGTAACAACCCTCTTGCATCACTCATCTTGTATATCATTCACTTCTTTTGATCTTCTTGTTCTGCAACTCGGAAAAGCAACCCATTTCCATGTCCTCCTCATCATTCACCTGTTCTGCTGCATTGCTTGCCGTCTTTTTCGTCGCAACATGGAAGGCTCAAGCTCAATCCTCGACAACAACCAACTGCCTCTCACTCTCGTCATCCGAAGCATGTCCAGCATTCAGTCAATACTACATCGATCTATCGTCCCTCACGTCTCGATACACGTTTATGGCAAATGCGACCGACGTATCATCATTTGATCAAAGTATAATATCGTATGCAAAGACAAGTGCGTTGTACATGGATCAGCTTGGATGTTCAGGATCAACGAATGATGACAACACGCCCTATGCACGATACTCCCTCTCTCGATTATGTGCAAGGTTTACACAATCCCAAGAGTCCCTCAGCTGCAGTTATCAGCATAATGTATCACCACCACCACTATGTCAATCGACGTGCGATGATTGGGTTAACAGTGTATCCAACATTACGAACGACATTTCAACTTGCTCAGATACCACTACACGTTCGAATGCAATCGCCAACCTAAAATCAGAATGTTCAAATTGGGAAGGTTTCAGTGGCAGTGATGCTGTCAATTGTGTGGAAGGAGCTGTCAATGAACCTGATAATTGTGGTACGTATGTGGGTGTGATATGCGGCTTGAATCAAAAGCAAGGGATTAAACGTTTGCCTTCTTTTGTAGGATTTCAGTCCGATACGGATACGGCTTGTCAATACTGTGATAGCAACAACTCAGATCCATGCTGCAACAAGGTGTCATGTAATCGATTGGGAGTAGGAGCTATCATTGGCATTGTCGTCGGCAGTGTGGTTGGTGCCGTTTTATTATGTTTTGCTGTGGGATGCTTTTGTTTACGGCGGAAACGGGTTCGAAAGGATACGCATGGATTCAAAACGTATATTTCATCATCAAGGGACGATTATCACAACAACGTGGATCGTGCTGAAACTGGCAGCCGGCATGCTTTGGTATCCCATCATGATGAATCTGTGCCTACGTTATCCGAGCCAACCATCTCATCAGCTATTCATTTGCAAGAACCACCACCCTTAGTCACCTCTTCACCATCATCAACAGCAGCAGCAGGAGCAGCAGGAGCAGTAGCAACACCCCAACAACCACGACCCGAAGATTTGCACATTGTTGTGCATCCATACCCCCCGCAGATGGAAGATGAGCTTGGTTTGCAAGTGGATGACCTTATTTGTTTGGCTGCAAAGTTTGATGATGGCTGGGCCTTGGGTATCAATGCCATGACAGGACAAAAAGGTGTGTTTCCTCTTTTATGCGTTGCGCCTCTTCCACCAGAACTATTGAATGAGATTATTCCCTCCGATCAACCCATCACTACCACTACTACAACTACTACCAATTACGATCCGGATTCATCCAAGATATTGTTGGAAGATGACATTACACAACAGCAACTATGGCAACCATCTCAAGTAGTATCCCCACCACCGGCATCATCCATATCACATTCGACACCAACCCATCCTCCTCAACCTCCTCAAATCAATCTCATCCGGATACGAGAAAACGTACGAAGATCTATTAGCCTTGGCTCTTTTCCTCATGGCAAGCTATCAAAGAGTATCAACACCACCGCCACCACCACACCTACCACCTTCCACGGAGGCATCCCTAAAAGGACAGCCAGCATGCGCAATCCTCATCAACATCATCACTATGGTTATTCCGAAGCAGAGTCTCCAACATCACCTACCTTGAACACGCCATTTTTTGACGTGACACCCGAGCTCAATTCCAATAACAACAATCAAGATGCATACGAGTTGCACGATCATCTACGACGTAGGAGTAGCAGTAGTAGCAACAGTAGTTCAATGTGGATAAAACGGCCGAATGGCAAGTGACCCCACTAGATTGTAGACTTGGATGGTTCAATATGTGTGTGAGTGTGTGGATGTATATGTGTGTCTATGTGTATATGAGATTTGATTATGCTATCCCACCCCCACCCCTTAATAACCATTGGATATCCTCCTTTTGGTTGTTTCTTTTTCAACCATGACACTTGCTCTGCTCGCTCACTCACCATTGCAGCATTGTCATTAACTTCTCTCATTGCTCATCACACTTTCAAGATGCTTACTGTTGCACGAGGTAAAGCCGTGTATGCATACTATGTTATTGAGTACATGTTCTCTAATGATATCCTTTCAGGCAATAAACAGCAACAGCAGGAGGACCAAATTAGATTGCTGGTTGCTTCACTTGTTGAATCGTATCATCGTATGCATGGTGGTTCACCACAAGCCAATCCTAGAGCCTTTTTTCTGATATGTCAAGTGCTTCTCAGGGCAACCACCACCTCCACCATCTCATCGGCGGGCTTTGTTGATAACGTGTATCACGATATGCAGTCTCATGCCCAGGCCACTGCTATTCAAAACATTCTACGCACAGCTTCACAAACAATCCATGATCCAGATTATCAAGCAAAGATGATGATGACTTTGTCATCTTTCTCCGGTCTCCATGACGACGAGCAACGCCAACAATGTCAACCTTCCTCAACAACGACATCATCATCATCCCCTTCTTGTTGTTCCATATTGGACCATTCTTCCGAACATGAAGAGCAGCAGCAGCAGGAGAAGGAGAAAGAGGAGGAGCATCTTCTTTTCAACTTGTCGGTTCAAAATTCGCGATATCAGAATGATTTTGTGGAGATTGGTATGCTTGGAAGAGGAGGATTTGCCAGCGTATGGCGTGCACGCAACAAATTGGATGGTATTGAATATGCTATCAAGAAAATCAGACTTGCTCGACGTAATCCAACCATCTTTCGAGAAATCAAGCATCTCGCTCGACTTGAACACCGTAACATTGTACGCTATTATTCATCATGGCTACAGGTGACATCTTCCACTGTGCATGAGCAAGACGAGGAAGAAGAGATAGGACATCCACCACAACCACCCGCTGTTATCAACAACAACAACAACCATGACAACCAGAGCAAACGTGATAGTACGTCGTCATTGTGGATGAATAACATGCCTGACATGCTATCGGATATGACATTGGATACAACCTCATCAACATCGTCACCCATCCAATTTGGTCACCACGACAACAGCAGCACCACCACTTCTACTACTAGCAGTACATCTTCCTCAGAAAGGGATCCATTTGTGAACAAAGAATGCAGCAACCCAAAGTCACATGCACAACAGCATCATCATCAGGAGTGGACTTTGTACATCCAAATGCAGCTTTGTCCATGTAAGGAGGAGGAAGGATATATATATTTCTGAATGAGCGAGTGATTAATTACATGCATACTACATAGCAACGCTGCATGATTACATCAAGTTGCGTAACCAAAAACTCACCACGGATGCTTCTTGTTGCGATCTTTTGGATTCAGAACGCAACCTTGAGATATTCTCGCAGATATTGGAAGGGGCAGCTTATATCCATGAGCAAGGGATCATCCATCGTGATCTCAAACCCACCAATATTTTCTTGAGTATGCCAGCGTCTTTTCATGAACAGCGTAAAGGGCGTCGACGAAGCCGTGCCAATAGCCTTGCCAGTGTACAATCGTCTTCATCACCACACCATTTGGACAACAACGACCCTGTTACAGTAGCGATACCACCAGGATGGGATGAACAACCCTGGGTCCCCAAAATTGGTGATTTTGGTTTGGCTGCTGCATCCTTTTCATTACCACCATCCCTTGATGAATACGAGCATCTTTACAATAACCACATTTCCTCCACCACGTCGCTCACAAGTAACAGCAGCAGCAGTCGACGACGCATGTCATTTCATCGTACTACACGTACCAGCGGTGTAGGTACAATGACTGTAAGTGCCTACATACATATCATCTCAATGCCAAAGATGAATTCTCAACAACATACATAGTATGCATCACCCGAACAATTGGCAAAATCACCTAGTGCATACGATGAAAAGGTTGATATTTACTCATTGGGCATCATCTTTTTTGAAATGCTTCAGCCATTTTCAACATGCATGGAGCGTGCTGAAGCAATTGATGGTTTAAAACAAGGCATCTTCCCCTCTGGATTTGTAGAGAGATACCCAAGAGAGGTAAAGCTGCATTATGGATGATTGTCAATTCATTTACTTAACAAGTTTGATGTGTAGACGGCATTGATTTTGTGGATGATGGACACAGACCCTGAAAAACGACCCACAGCAGCGCAATTGCTAGAGTGTGAGCTCTTTGTAGTTACGGATGATTCCACAGTAAGCGTACTTTACGATTGTGATGATGCAATGGTCCTAAAAATACCTCTCTTTTCCCAGGACGCATTTACGATGCTCCAATCACAGCTGCTGGCAAAATCGCTCGAACTTGAGAAGAAGACAGAGGAGATCGTGACCTTAAAACAACGAGTGGAGCTTGTTGAGAGTACTCGAAAACGAGAGGTGGATGAAATGACACATCGATTGATTGAATTAGAGCAAAAGCTGGCTCTTTTGCAACAAACACGAGCAAAGCCTACAAGTAGATCCCAGCTAAGGCAATACATTACATAGCCCACATCCTCAGACTGTAAATAAAACTGGTATATCTATGTACTTGACATCCTTGACCTTAATTCATCCATGTGTCCCAAATGTTCCACTCACAATGCAATAGAAGCATAGCAGCGTTTATTTGATAGTGCACAGCATATTGATGCTCCTAAGCACATGACCTCTCTTGAGTCAAAAGCCATAGCTGGTTGCACCAATGTACCTATTTTCTATCTTGGATCTTCAATGGATACAGTTCAACCGATCGCCGGAGCGAAAATGGGGCAACATTTAGGTTTTGACCTCGTGATTGGCGGCTCCCATTATCCCAGGACTCTCCACACCAGTTGCAATTGTTAAGGTACCACACCTCTTCTTCCCCGAGCCTCTTTTTCTTCTCTTTTCCAAGACTCCCTCTCCCCTCCATTGCCTGCAATTCTGCGTTCTTCAATTATGAAGGCATCGGCTCGACGCAGCGTATCGTATGTCGTGGAAGCATGTGATGAAGAACGAGCCCATCGCTTAGGTGTCAACTCCTTGGCAATCGATCCCAATGTACAACAGTCCATAAACGAAACCACAGGCCATGGCGGTGTCCTTTTTTCTGCTGGCAGAGACGGCGTCGTAGCAAGTTGGGATCTTCACTTTGAATTCCATCGACCCAGTGCCCATGCTGAATGGGAGCTCGACCACGATTTTGAGGTGTGTACAAATATATATGCTTATGCGTTCTTTTAATAACAACAATGGGGGTTCTTGCATATATAGACACCCGCACCCAAGGCAACCAACAGGGCGTTTACTCAAATGCATACCGATTGGGTCAATGATATTGTGGTTTGTAGAGATGGAAGGGCTGGTACGTGTATATATTTATATATTTATATAATGCAATCCAAGGAGAAGTTATTAATAATCCCACTCTCTGCTATAGTGGTCTCGGCATCATCCGATCGCACGGTTAAACTTTGGTCTGTGAATGATCCAGAATCATGCTCATCGACTATTGGATGGCATAACGATTATGTCAAATGCCTCGCCTCGGCCAATCAAGCAGGATGGGTGGCTAGTGGTGGTTTCGATAAACGTGTCAACATTTGGGACCTCGAGAAATGTCAAGCTGCAGCAGCCATTCATACAAACGCTGATCAAAACATGTATTCTTTGGGTGCCCACAGTATGTTCAACATGCAACCTTTATACACTTGCCACCTCTTTTATTCATTCATCTGCGCCCTTAGATACTATCACCAAGACATCAATTTACGCTATGGCAGTGAATCCTTCTGGCAAGGTATTGGCAACCGGTTCACCTGACAAGGTTTGTATTGCACTTGGAGATGGAATAAGAGATAAGGTATACTTACGCAGCCAACTCATAGGTGGTACGATTATGGGATCCTCGATCGGGTCAACAAATTGGAAGACTTACAGGCCATACGGACAATATTCGTACATTGCTGATAAGTGAGGATGGTAGTCATGTAAGTATGGATGAGGGATTCAATGATAAAAAACAAGTTTAGGCTAATGGATTCCCTCGTATAGATACTTTCTGGCTCATCAGATTCAACCATCAAGCTATGGTCGGTCAAAGCGCAACGATGCTTGGCTACGTATGAAACACATGCCGATTCAGTGTGGTCCCTTTATTCCGATGATCCTGAATTGAAGATATTCTATGCCGGTTCTCGTGATGGCTTGGTCACCAAAACGGAGATTTCAGGATGCAACGAGATGGATAATGAAAGTGAATGCATTGGTCTTTTCAAAGAGAAATCGGGTGTTTCAAAGGCAAGTGGTGGGCTTGGTGTGATCATTGCATGATCCATTACTGACAATGACCTTATTTCTGTAGATTGTTGTATTGCAGGACAAATACATTTGGACAGCTACATCAAGTTCAGACATAAATAGATGGGTGAGTGTGCATGCCAATGAAATGACATCCATCGTTCTTATATATACCTTTTTAGCTCTCTATCCCTTCACGCGAATCTCGACAAACTTTAATCGATTCAGCATACAACATCGACATTCCTACATCGGCTTCAGCAAAACTACCCCCTGCTCGACCGCCCTATCACTCTCAGTATTCGGAGCCATTCGTTGGAAGTGACAACTTGACATTATACGCCAAATCGGTCATGTCTATCCCTATCAGCTATCAAGAAGATGATGATGATTCCAATGAATTGATTCAGCCATTACGTAGTGCACCTGATGGCACTATCTCAGGTACTTTTTCGTTGGCAAAATGTGAGGGTGGATGAAGCTTTAGCTCACATGAATCTCAATAGGCAAACCTGGAATTACAGCTCACCTCGTGTTACAAAATCGTCGACATGTGCTCACACAAGATACCAATGGCGAAATTGGTCTATGGGATATTGTGAAGGTTGGTTCAACTTGCTATTAACAAAGGAGCGATCATTAAAATCGGATTTTAGTGCACTCAAGTCAAAAAATTTGGCAAGCGTCCTCTGCATGATGTTGCTCAGGAAGTGAATGGAATGGATTGTGCTCCTGCTTGGTGTACCGTGGATACAAAGATTGGTGTAAGTACATAGGGTGGCATGATGGCAAGATTTTATTCGTTATTGACATGGGGTGGTTTCAAAGGCAATCACTGTACAAATGGATGGATTCACTTGTTTCGATTGTGAGATGTATGCGGATGAAGCTGACTTGCCCGATACATATGAAATACGTGAAGATCAGAGAAGTAAGCAAGCTGCTTGTTGGATTTAGTGCTACTTTTTACTTATAGTGGTTTATAGTTAATCTTGGAAAATGGGTGCTGGCACACCTCTTCAAAGAATTTCTGAACAAAGTGATCGAGCTACAGCATCGGGAAGAGGAAAAAGCGCATGATGAAAAGCAAGAGCGCAAGAGCACTACCACAGTAATCCGTGCTGCCGATACACCACCTCCAGATACTCATACCAAAAAGTCAACGACGCCAAAACCACCCTTGACGGCTATTACAACCAATATCAACAATAACCCAGCCTTCCCACCAAACTCGCCAATGTCACCTGGTTGCAATAGCATATCAAGTGGACCATTCACGGCACCACCCACCACAAGTCCTCAGGATGACTATTTTTCAGGGGCACATCATCCAACAGCAGAGCCTACATCGCCAGTACAACCTCCACCACCCGTAGCATTATCAACATCACCAGCGTCACCCACTGGTAACTTTATCAATCGATTGAAGCATTTATCAGTCAAGGCCAAAATATCAAAAACGCCATCTGGAGAAGAAAACGATACACAAGCCGACGTAAGTTGCATCTTATTTCCACGTGGTATAACCCCTTTACTTATATAACAATGAATAGCTCCCTAAACGATCCATGGGTGACGCTCCAAAGAATGGATACCATGGTGCTGGCAAAAAGACTGAAAAGGAAGCGTCCTCATCATCGGACAGCTTAAAGACACATTACACACCTCCCTCGCCCTCTGAATTTCCACCATTATCCATCCCATCTTCAACAACCATCATCATCACTGAAGAGAGTGCCGAAGCATCCACTGGCATTGATCTATATCGTGGAACAGCTGCCTATGCCGGGATCGATGCAGAATTGATTGCAAACACTGCTCCCTCTTGGTTGCTAGCCTATTTGTATCATGTGAGTACATCTTGCCATGAAGTGAAAAGTGTTATCCAAAAACCAACTGACAACTTTGCTAGAACAAAATACCCAACAAGGATGCCGTCAAGCTCACCTTTTCCTTATCACCGCACAAGGGTTCAAAGATGCCTGAACTTCCAGCTGGGTAAATATACATACACGACGACACATTCTACTTGAGGTGCTCATTGTTTATCTTTGATGATAGGGGTAGCAATCGACTCTTAGCCAACAGGGTACTCCGAGTGCGGAAATTGATCCACCACGTCGGCGAGAAATTAGGGATGGCACCTGGTCAAGCTGTACAAGACATTGAGCTGCTATGTTGTGACACCATTCTTCCATTAACAATGACCCTGGCATCCATCAAACAACACATCATGAAGTCAAGTGGCGATATTTTATTGACCTATCGATATATTTCTGAAAGCAACAAAAGATTAAGCGAAAAGTCAAGGATATCGAGCTAGTGGATTACTTTTTCTTGCATATGAGTAAAATGTTGCTTTTACGGTCTCCCCTTGATAAATCCATTTGGCTCAATGTCATGATGATACTACAAAGACAATGATGCATTTGAATGATGATGTTTGTAAAGAGATTCTTGGCTGATTGCTCCTACTATTACACAACAACTTTGTATGCCACGACGTCGATCTCGCTCATTGTTATAGGAGTGGCTCATTATTGAGTTAGATGTCCATGCTCTCCTTTTGCTAATGAATAGAAAACATGTGTCTTTTATCTCCATAGCGTTTCTTCGTCTCTCTTTTATTCCATTGTTTTGTATACTTGCTCCAACAACCATCATGAAGATCCCGGTGCTATTTATGATCACTATGGCTACGCTCGCCGCCAACGTTTCTGCTCGATTATACTGCAAGTGTTGCGATGTTCCATTGCTGAGCCAGAGGACACCGACGTGCTGCAAAACAAAAGGGACCAAAGGCACTTTGAATGACGAAACGGGAATTTGCGAAGTGAACACGAGCAGCGGCAAAGCTGAAGAGGACTTTATTGCTTGCTGTACTGAGGGTTTAGCCGGTATCCATGGCTCTTGCAAGGTCGATAAATGGAAAGGTGGTGAAGAAAACGAAGGTCCTAGCGATATAGCCGGTATGCTTCTTGATAAATGCGTAGCTCTTACTTCTTCAGAAGATTCCCCTCTTGCCGCATTATAATAAAATAAAGCTATCATCGTATCCATAAATAGCATTTTTGTTGCTGCTGCATTATACTCGATGTATTTGTGCACCCTCCCCCATGTAAATGATGATGATGATTCCGTTTATCCCTCGCAGAGTCTTAATGAAGTTCAACAATGACAAGTGAGCATGCTGATATGAAGGGAAAAGTGGATGTGATTGGCCGACTTTTTTTATCTTTCCAAGCAAAGAAACCCAACGACATTCATCCCATCGCCGCCCGCCGCTCTCTTTTAATAACTCTCTCTGCAAATAACGCCTATTCATATACACACCAACGACACAAAGCATGGCAGCTGCCGCTAACAACGGCAAACGGAAGGTGGTCACTGTTTTACCACTTCATATCGATACAACTTCCTTTACCAACCCACAGCAACCCATCACGTATCCATGGCGACGCATCATCAACAAGCGGCAGCTCCCCTTTCTGATCCTCTTTGTCTTTTTCATCTTCAGCATTGCTATCAACTTTATTCAACATGAACGGCATCGTGGTGTGCTCACCAGGACGTCATCTCTCACGCCATCGATCAGCGATCCACTACCAAGGGCGCCGTTAGAAAAGTTACAGCGAGCGATCATTGTCCCTGGCCATGCGATCTACACTGGCGACTCGTCGTTGGAAGGTTTAGAGGTGGATGATAATTGGGTCTTGGAGTCGTTTCAACGTGGTGGTCAAGTACGCACCTTTGTGAGGCATATTGAAAAGGCCATTGAGATGGCAAAAGAAGATCCAGAGGCTGTTGTCATCTTTAGTGGGTAAGTAGTAGTAGCAGCAGCAGCATCGTCTTTTGGAACAAGTTCATTGATGATGAGGATGATCTTTGTACATAGTGGACAAACGCGTGCACATGCTGGACCTCAATCAGAAGGACAATCCTACTGGCAAATTGCCAACAGCTTAATCCACAAAGAAGCCATCAATGATACGACGACGGTGGATAGTCTTACAGCAAGAATGATTGTGGAGGATTATGCGCGAGATTCACATGAGAATTTGTTATTTTCGATATGTCGATTTCAAGAAATGACAGGGCAATATCCATCATCCATCACTGTTGTCGGCTTTGAATTCAAAAGAACACGTTTCGAAGAGATGCATCTTCGATCATTACGATACCCAGAACAACAGTAAGTAATGCAAAGCTTAGGGTAAGGAGGAGGGAGAGAGAAAATTGACCTTTTTACATCATGTAGATTCCGATACATTGGCATTGATCCACCATTTGATCCAGTTGGTACACCCGAGCGGAGTGCAGGTGAAGCAGCTAATTCCCTGGGTCCTTTGAAGAAGGATCCTTATGGTTGTCATTATCCGCTTGTCCAAAAAAGAATCGATCGTAATCCCTTTCGTAGAAGGTAACAAGAAAAAAAGGAGGGTCATACGGGGGGTGGAGAACCAACCATGATTAATGAGACAACTTTTAGACATCCTTATCGCTTAACATGCCCTGCCCTTTCCGATATCATCAACTACTGCCCTGAAGACAATCAATTTTTCCAAGGACGTTTACCATGGGATAATTAAAAAGCTTTAATGTGACATTTCAAGTACATAGACTTAGAACATTGCATCCACTGTTTCTGGACAATAATAAAAATCCTGTATCCATGCACCACCATACGATTAGGGAAGGTTTGACAGCTATTGACATCCGCAGCAGCAGCACACAAAGAAAAAAAAAGTACAAGCAGTAAGACGAAGTCCGATAATGACTGTGGTTTAATACGCGTATTCCAAATGGGAGAAAGAGAATGAGAGGTGAGAAGAGCCCTACTTTTTTTCTTTCTTTCTTTCTCTTCCCCACCAACACCACCACTACCACCACCACTTGTTATTTTACCCACCATGGATAATAAGGCTGCTGCTGATCAGAGAAGAAACAAATACAAGAACAAGGATGCATTCCAGTCTGAGCAAGTCCGGAATCGTCGTCAGAAGCACACTGTCGAGCTGCGAAAGCAAAAGCGAGAAGAGAATCTGTCCAAGCGTAGAAACATGAATTTGGGTGCAGCTCCCATGGCCGATAGCGACGATGAATCTGGTGCCATTGAGTCAACTGAGGTAAGGATCGTGCTTTGAGAGAAGGGTTCATTCGTCCATCGATTGTTGTTTAACTTGGATTTGGGTACGCCACAGCTTCAGCAGTTGCTTATGGCGCTCGTCGAGGCTGTGAATTCGGGTGATGTGGAACGGCAATACGAAGCAACGACTCGATTCAGAAAGCTCTTATCCAAGGAACGTAATCCTCCTATTCAAGAAGTCATCAGCACGGGTGTCGTCCCCAGATTTGTCGAGTTTCTTCATTCACGTCATGGTCTTCTTCAGGTATTTTGGGGGATCATTCATTGTCGACGACGATATCGATATTAATATATACAACAATGATTAGTTTGAAGCGGCTTGGGCTTTGACCAACATTGCATCTGGAACATCAGACCAAACACGTGTAGTGGTTCAAGCAGGTGCTGTTCCCATCTTTGTACAGTTGCTTGGTAGCGAAGTGATGGATGTCAGGGAACAGGTAACTATATGAAACAAACAAATGAGAGGGAGAGATATTGATATAGGATTGTTTAGGCTGTTTGGGCACTTGGCAACATTGCTGGTGATAGCACCGATTGCAGAGATTTCGTATTGGACAATGGAGCCCTTCCACCCCTCTTGAATATCCTCAATGAGAATCATAAATTATCCATGCATCGCAACGCTACTTGGACGCTTTCGAATCTTTGCCGTGGTAAAAACCCTCAACCTAATTGGCAAAAGGTAAAGAGAAAAAAGGAATGGCTTGGATGCAGGTACTGATATTTGTATATAGGTGTTGCCTGCTCTTCCTGTACTTGCCAAATTAATCTATTCTACGGATGAGGAGGTGTTGATCGATGCATGCTGGGCTATTTCATACCTTTCGGATGGACCTAATGATCGAATTCAAGCTGTGATCGAATCGGGTGTGTGTCGTCGACTTGTCGAATTGTTGATGCATCCTACAACTTCAGTACAAACCCCTGCTCTTCGTTCGGTTGGTAACATTGTCACTGGTGACGATCTTCAAACACAGGTGGTGATCAATTGTGGCGTTCTTCCTGCACTTTTATCCTTGCTTTCGAGCAGCAAAGACGCTATTCGGAAAGAAGCTTGCTGGACGATCTCCAACATCACTGCTGGCAACGTTGCACAAATCCAAGCTGTCATTGATTCCAATATCGTCCCTGTCCTTGTGCACATCCTTGCAACAGCTGATCTCAAGACGCGTAAGGAAGCATGTTGGGCCATTGTCAATGCAACATCGGGTGGTCTTAACAAGCCTGAACAAATCCAATACATTGTATCACAAGGATGCATCAAGCCTTTGTGTGATGTGCTGACGACGATGGATAACAAAATCATTCAAGTGGCTCTGGATGGTCTTGAGAACATACTAAAGGTCGGCGAACTTGAACGTCCCAATGATCCCGATGGCCTCAATCGTTATGCTATGTACATTGAAGAATGCGGTGGTTTGGAGATCATCCATCAAATGCAAGCTCATGAAAACAACGACATTTATAACAAGGCATACAACATCATCGATCGTTACTTTTCTGAGGAGGATGAAGGTGAGGAGATGGCAGATGCGGCCAACATCCAATCCTTTGGTTTCCAAAACAATGTCAACGTACCTCAAGGTGGTTTCAATTTTGGTCCTCAGTAAACACATGCATCTACTATTTCATTCTCTCTCTCTCAACACAATTGTATTACTTTCAAGTTAGTACTATCCTCTCTACCCTACTTGACTGATTTCTTCCCCAAGAAAATATCCCTTTTTTCCCATCTCCCCCCTGGCTCTTCACAGCTTACCCTTCTTCTTTATCAAGACACATTCACAACAAATGATTGACACACACACTCACACTCTCACACACACACTCTCACACACACTCACACTCTCACTCCACACACTTAGTTCCCTTTGCATTTCAATCGCATCTGTTTAACGAGTAAAAGCTTACTTCTACTCCCCATTATTCTTCTCTTTTACTTACATGTATATCTTTGTTCATCATGTTGTCCATAATTGTGATCGTCAATAGATATGGCTACTATCATTTACAATTAAAAGCGGGAATAGATATGGTGCTTTAAGAGTTGTCGCATTGTCTTCATCATTCAGGGGCATTGAAATTCTAAGCTCATACCCACTCTACAAAGCCCTTGGACTTCCGCACTAGCATTACATTACACACACATATAGATACAGCTTGACATATGGTACTGGATAACGAGAACTACAGATCCCCACATTGACCGACACACATTCATGCTCTGTTTCTTATCAGAACCAATCGTACAACTACGAGCACGTACCTCATTCTTACACAAGCCGGCCAAGTTATCGTCAAGATCAGTACCCTTCCACGGTTGAACCACCAATGCAACAACCTCCTCAGCCCTCACGATCGCCACTGCCTATCGCCCATAACCCACACGATCGTCACTATAACGCTGGCCACTTTTCACCCTTATCACACCATGTTCAGGCAACCTTTTCATATCTTCCTCCTCAATCCACCACTGAACTACCTGTATCAGCAAATACTCCACCGCCACCGTATCACACAAATCGCGATAGAGCCCAAGAGCGAGAAGCAACCATGCATGTAACGCGTTCATCGCTACCAATGATATACAACAATGAAGTCCCAGGATTCAACTCTGTAAGTATAAAACTACATGGGTAGTTCATAGCTGTTTAGCTGATTTACTATTGTTGTCATCCTCTGTGTATATAAGATAGGTGCCCCATCCGGGATGTATCATCAACCTCCTCATCCTCATCACCAACAGCATCGATATTCTCCACATGCTGATATTATTGCACATCATCCTTCCTTCCACCACGACACATCCCCACATACAAAGTTACCACCCCTCAATCCTTCCCCAACCATTGACAACAACAACAATGATGATGACGATCACAATGGCAGACGGTGGAACAATGACCCCATGATACGGTAAAGTTGAACTCTTTAATTTCCATCATGAATGACAATGACTGATTGCACTATAGCAACGACGACACTATGATGATAACAGGATCCATCGCCTCGTCTCCTTCTTTTACAATGACCGAGAAAGAGCTTGAACCTTATGGATGCGGTGTAGGTGATTGTCATGCGACCTATCCTGCTTCGAGCGCGTTGTTTTATCATGTCAAAAACTGGCATGGTGCTGATCTTCAAAATGTCGACAAGCCATTTCGCTGTGCCATCCCCAATTGTGTCAAACGCTACAAGAACATCAACGGGTTACAATATCATTTGCGTGAAGCCAAAGGTACATCAGGTCATCCAACACTTCCCGGCAAACCACCACCGCAACCACAAGAGAAAATCCACAAATGTCGCGTCGCAGGATGCAAAAAGGCGTATAGGACAGCCAACGGATTGAAATATCATCAAACGCATGCTCATCAAAAGACTTGATACCACCACATCCACCACAGCAGCAAAAGAAAAATGCAAGAAAAAGAGATGATTCCATGTTCACATGTACATTTGATAATAGTAATAGTATTGTTATGCCCTTGATGGTGGGGATACCTAAACAACACCTATGTTAATCCAACAATAAAAAAAAGAAAGAAAATCAGCCATTACCAAGATAACACCATCTCCTCGCACGAAAAGCATATCAAAGTTGCGCTTCATTGTCTAATACAAGAACATGTTTAGTGGATTGCTTTCATAGACAAGACATCATTAAAATGGTTTACCCGGATGATCTCTTCGTAGGTATCTTCATTGACCTCGACAAGTGTGATAGTTTCTTCGACTTCACCAAGTACCATATTCAAATGGCCGTCGTATGCCTGCATAGTCAAATGGGGGGGTATGTGTATGAGCCATGTGGCTTGAAGATGGCATTCGTTGCTTCTCGTTCTTACATGCAAAATGCCGCGTAACTCGCGATCGCCTCTCAATTTGACATAGATTCGTTCATCGAGAGAAAGGCGTACAAGATCGAGTGGTTCTTCGACTGCTCCAACGTCGGTGCCTGTCGTGGTAACGTCTGCCATGAGCTGGATATAGGTGAAAGAAGAAAAGAAGCGCAATCTTCCGGCGTTGCGGGGTTTTTGGCGCCAATGCTTGAATTCACGGTGGTTGCTGAGGCAATGGTTGCTACCCCCTTCCTTCCTTATTCATTCAATAGAACTACTTCCCCCCCCCATGTATTCTCTTTAGTAATAAAAGGAAGACCATAGGCGTGCTGGTCATAGTTGAATACTCAAATAAAGATGCCTATCCATAATCACCATGCTTTTTTTCTACTTGATGGATGATGGAATGTATAAAAGATCTAATTGTGAAGGGTGATTATTGCCGAGATGATCAGCTTTAGATTCATTCATTGTAAAAGGAACAAAGTTGTAGCTTTATTCATGCATTGAATTATACATCCTGTTATAGCTATGATCGGTGTCAGACAGCTCGTCGATAGCTATATATTACTGCATTAACGATAAGCGGAAGCTGCTTACAAATCGGCTTTCTTTTCCTGGTTGTCAACGCTTACTACTCACAGAATGAGCAACAACGTGTTTGAAGCTGCAGCATCGGGTGACATTGGTTATCTTGAGAAACACAAGAGCGACATTGGTTCGAAGAATGAGCGTGGCTGGACGGTGCTTCACTTTGCCGCTCGATACGGGCAGCGTCAAGTCGTCGACCTTGTCTTGCAACTCTCTGGGTGCGATCGTGAAGCTACCAATTCTGAAGGCAAGACGGCAGCCGAGGTTGCTCAATTTTGGGGATACGATGATATTGCCAAGCTACTCGGCACGTCAACAACAACAACAACAACACAAGAACCCTCGTCCCAGCAACAGCAACTACAGCCGTTTCCACCAAATCATGTGAACTTTTTTGCTGACAGCCCATTAAACAGGTTCGTGAGCTACATGACAAAGGTGGATGATATCTTACATGGGGACAATAATAGATATAGCTGGTATCGCAATGACAAGAACAAGCTGCGTGAACTCGTTCGTGGACCTCGTGCTCGTTTCCTTGTGATGTCTGAACTCAATCCTTTATTTGATGACAATGGTATCTATTTTGCAACCTATGATGAAGTGGCTTCCGTTATCGAAAAGGCTTTGCCGGAACAAGAGGAGAACAAGCTTGTCCCTGAAGAGGATGAGATCATCTTGGTGTTCCTTGGTATCGATGAACGAGAGGACAATGCCGTGTATTGGGCTTTGGATGTTACTCCGAAAGGCCACCATGAAGCCGACATGAAGAAATTGATTGATGCATTCGAAGCTCGCGACCTTGAATTCTCACCAGCCCTTCCACGTGCTTTTACGGTTGAAAAATCAGTTGCAGCAATCATTGCACAAGCTCGTTCAATGGGTATGTTATGTCTTTGTATGCATGTATGCATGGATGAATGGATCATTGATCATCATAATAATAGTGGATTGGAATCAACGCCACATGTATTGCCCTGCATGTGGAAGACGAACGAAGTTAGATGAAGGAGGACACAAGCGTACTTGTCCACCGGTTCCAGCAGGAGAAACGGGTGGTGCACCATGTATCAGCCAAAACGGTGTGCATAACTTTGCCTATCCGAGAACAGGTATGTGACAATAAAAGGCGTATATAAAGGCAATGTGTGATTGATTGGCGTGTTGTCTATGTACGTAGATCCCGTGATCATTGTAGCCATTGTTCATCCTACTGAAGATAAGGTCCTCTTGGGTCGACAAAAGAAATGGCCTGGAAGAATGCATTCTTGTATCGCTGGATTTGTTGAAGCAGGTGAATCGATTGAAGAAGCTGTACGACGTGAAGCCTATGAGGAAGCTGGTATCCGTGTGGATCGTGTGGCCTACCATAGCAGTCAGCCATGGGTAAGTGTAAAAGTGACGTGTGTGTATGTATACCATTGTTTCTCATATACGATCATAATAGCCGTTTCCCAATTCATTGATGTTTGGATTTATTGCTGAGGCTGTGAGCACCGATATCAAGCTTGAGGATAAAGAGCTCGAGAGCGCTGTTTGGTTTACGCATGCCGAGGTGCAAGCTGTGCTTAACAAGGAAGCCAACACCAAGTTTACTCTTCCACCCAAGACAGCGATCGCATATCAGCTTATCAAGTCATGGGCTACGGATAGCATATGGCGATCCAAGAACCAAAATGCCAAAATGTGATGTTTAGAGTGGGATGACCATGGACCAATAAAGTGTGCATATAGACTATGTTGATCTCCTTATTCAGCAGCAGCAGCAGCTCCCGATTTTGATTATTGCGGGCTCATTGTTTCATTTTCATTCACATTCACACTCTCTTTCCCTTTTTCGCTGCTTGCATGTCATACTATCCAGGCCAGTACGGTTCATACGGTCAACCTCCTCCTCCTCCTCAATATCCACCTCCACAACAATCGTATGGTGGATACCCTCCTCCTCCTCAACCACCACAAGGTTCATATCCACCACCTCCTCCACCTCAGCAACATCCAGGTCCATATCCACCACCTCCACCACCACAAGGTTCTTATCCTCCTCCTCCAGGTGGTAACTATCCACCTCCACCGCCTCCTCCAGCAAGCTCTTATCCTGGTGCAGGTCCATATCCACCACCAGCAGGCGTATGTTTGATTTGTGTGATCGGCAACATGGCACCATTCCCTTTGACTGATCAGCCCCATTTTAGTATGCACCACCTACAACACAGCCACCTAACTACCGTCCCTATGGCAATGGCGCCATTCAACCACCTCCATACACTGGTAAGTTGTTTTGGTGTGGTATAGTCTAGTAAGGGCAACTTGAAGCTAAGTGTGTGGTTTCTCTTTTACAGGTGAGGATCCTGGATTCAGACCCAACGACCCATCTCTTGCACAAGCGAATTATCCACAGCCCCCCAATTCAATGCATAACGCCCAACCCAGTCCAGGTAATTCAAGAGAGAGTGGATGCTCAAGGTTATGAAAAGGATGCTAATGGGAAAGGTTGTTGTAGTACCTTATGGTCCACCCGGTGGTGGTAACATGGGCAATTTTGTCATGCATGTCAATCCTGCTATGCAAAACCGACCTCCTCCGAATTTCCAACTTTCCAACTGTAAGTTACACACACACACACATTCATAGCATCATGCCACTCACCCCATTTTATATCGTTATAGGTCAAGGACGCAAACGTGCTTTGTTGATCGGTATCAATTACTTTGGATCCCCCAATGAGCTCAAAGGATGCATCAATGATGTCCACAACTTGAAGGAGTTTTTGATCTCCCTTTACCATTTTCGTCAGGTAACGTTTCTTTTCTCTTGTAGACAAGAGGATGGCATATCTTATCGATGCTTATAGGAAGACATGGTGGTCTTGACGGATGATCAATCGGACCAACGTTTTATCCCAACCAAACAAAACATGATTGCAGCAATGCAATGGTTGGTTCGTGATGCACGTCCCAATGATTCGTAAGTTGTTATTATCCCATGTATTATTGAATCAATGGCTCTTACACATGCATCTTTTTAGCTTCTTTTTCCATTACAGTGGTCATGGTGGAAGAGTAAGTGATGATGGTATTTCCCTCAAAGATTGCTGACGATGGTGGTGATGGTGTATAGGTTAAGGATACGAATGGCGATGAAGATGATGGATGGGAGTAAGGATCATCATGATGCAACGTGTCAATGGAAGAAATGTACTTATTTATCTACATAGCGAGACCATTTATCCTGTGGACCATCAAATGTATCCTGGCAAGAATGGCCAAATTGTTGATGATGTAAGTAACATGATGATGATGGCTGTGAGCTTTGGATTTAATGTGGGATGCAATACTAGGATATGCATGAAATCATGGTGCGACCCCTTCCACCCGGTTGTAGATTGACGGCGATCTTTGATAGCTGTCATTCTGGTACTGCTCTTGATCTTCCTTATGTATATTCGACTCAAGGCACTCTCAAGGAAGCCAACTTATTCAAGGATGCAGGATCTGGATTGTTAAGTGCAGGCATGGCTTATGCAAGTGGTAATATTGGTGGTGCTCTATCAAGTGTGATGTCTCTTGGCAAAAACCTTCTCAATGGCAAATCCGTGGATGAGCGTGTGAAACAATTCAAGAGCTCGGCAGCAGATGTTATCATGTTTTCGGGATGCAAGGATCAACAAACGTCCGCTGATGCATTCGAAGCCGGAAGGAGCACGGGCGCTATGAGTCATGCTTTCACCAGTAAGTGCTATCGTTACTACGTATGGGCTTTTGTTTTCTAACAAAGGATTAATGGAAATAGCTGCTTTACGTGCCAATCCCCATCAATCGTATTTGCAACTCCTTAATTCTGTACGTGCAATTCTTCGTGAAAAGTATTCTCAGCGTCCACAACTATCAAGCTCGCATCCAATTGATGTCAATTTGCAATTTATTTGCTAAGGGAGAAAGAAAAGCTTGGATTATGTATACAATTATCTGTATGATTAGCCGTACGGAATAAAAAAAAGGATTGGCAATTGTTATCAAAGAAGGGATATGGCATCTCAGAGAAAAGGATCACGGTGAGTTTGAAGTTGAAGCGTTGTTGTTGGTTGAGGTAGCGACATTGGTATTGTCATGGGTTGAGGTGTCATTGGTTGTGGTTGTGGCGGCGGCGGCAGTTGCTTGGTGGAGTCGATTTTTGTCATCTTCATGCTCCTGAAAATAAAAAGAGAGAGATCCATTGTTACTTTTTTTGCATAGGTCATAGATATCATGCATCAGCAACACTTACAACAGGGCTTGCACTGCGAACAGGGCTTGGTGGTAGACCCATCGCTTGAGATTTCAAACTATGGCTTGAAGAGGTAGGTGTGGTGGGTACGCTGCTTAGCTTTTGTTGTTGTTGATGGCTGTATTCGAGTAATTCAGCTTGAGAGAGACGCACTGAAAGTTTATGTGTACTGGCAGCAGCAGCAGCAGCCGTCAATGATGATGGTGATCCAGGAGGTTTGGGACTGTATCCATTCATGGGTGTCAATGAACGACCTGATCTGAAAGAACGTACTGATCCCGGTCGAGAAGGTACACGAGGATAATTGGAAAGGTTGTGTTCGGCAAGGAATTGTTCGAGAAAATCGACAATCAATGGCTCTTTCATGGCTGATAACTTGTATTCCTCAAATGACTGTATAAATGAAAATGAGTATACATGCATGATGGCACCTACGCATAATAGTATTACCAATCGACCATCATTATCCACATCAAGGTCATCAAACATTCTTGCAATCATTGCCTTAATCTCGCCTGCTTGGTCTTCCTCTGAAAATGTTCGCGACTAGATTGCAAAAGTGTTAATGATGAAGTTATGCATAAAAGAAGAGCAAACAATGAAACCCACCAGCTGCAGCATAACTCGTTCAAGTTCTGGTCTTGTCAAATATCCATCGTGATCCACATCATAAAGTTTGAATGATACTACAATACACAGCATGGTTAACATAGGCTCCTACTCCTCATCTTTGTATGCTCTGATCTCACATGCAAGCTTCTCTTCTGGCGTGCCCTTCATGAAGATACTCAAACCATCAACAAATTCTCTACATGATTTGGTTCAATGTAAGTACCAAGTCTCATATCAATCGATCCTATAGTTGTATGATCTTACTCAAAGTCGATAGTCTTGTTGTTGTCAACGTCGAATGCTGCGTACAGTCGTTTCAAGAAGATATCATCGCTGGGTGATACGCCAGGCACATACTTTTTGACCGTCTAAAGGGTATTGTTAATAAGCTGCGATGCATAACGCATGGGTCGACTCATTGCTTACTTCTCGAAAGACATCCTCGGTAATGCTGCTGCTATCCGAACGCTTAGATGTTGATGTCTCAAGGTTATGCCGTAGATGTCGTATTTCTTTTGGCGAGACTGCATGAGCACGATGGTGGATTGCGGTATGTTAATGCATAGCGTGATAGTGATATGACAAGACAAGATAGGCTTACAATGCGTCTTCCTTGCTAATGCTCGATTCTCTTTGCTCTTTGCTTGACCCATACGAAAAAGAAGTGGGGTCTGAACACCAAGCGGATGTTCACAGCTATTACTGGCACTTGAATTCCCGACGTGAATGTGAGGCAGATCATTCATTGATCATCCTACGCCGATTGACAAGCACATGTATCCTATTATGGTGGTTCCTTCCAAAGTCATTCGTCGATCAATAGACCTTGTTATTATGATTAGAGCAATAAAATGGGTGGCTATTTCCATGTATGCAATTCATTATGTATGCATTCATACACAAACAAAATGTCTTCATTGTTCTTCTTGTATTGCACGTTGATGAGTTCTATGAGAACGCTTTTTCTGATTAATGATCACTTGCACGATACCCAAAGGTGTAAAATGATTTATTACGGATGATAGTGTGTATCCACTAATCAAGGTCGTCAGCAGAGACCGCCCTATTCCTAAAGGAGCGTGCTTCTTGAGCGTACCTTTAGGCTCTCAAACGAAGTACCAATTGCTTCTAGATCTTTAAAGGCGGTCATAAACGATAGCTGTATCATTCAAATGGACCTGTCTCCTGGCAACTTAACTCGACAGAGATCCAATCAAAGGGGCGGAACGACTTGGGAAGCTGTGATAATGCCAACCCCACATTGGACGCGTGTGCACTATTTTTATTTCATCATGCTTTGTGCAACCTGTCAACAAAGTAAAGCCATCATCATCCGACTCCATGCTTCATATAATTCGCCACCTCACGTCCATCCATACATACCAACCTTTTCTCAATGAATCCCCAAAGGCTATATAGCACCTTCCCCATCTCGGTGTATCTCTACCATTGGAACAATTCGTTGCACCTCTCAACCATCTCTCTTGTGAATGATGTTGGATTAAAGGGCTATTCTAGCAAATACGAGATTGCGCTAGTCAACCATTCTAAGCTTCTATAAGACCTTCCTTCTTCCTGAGTTGTAACTCGTCATGAGTGGATATTCGATGCATTTGTACTATAGAAAGATGTACGGTGTGGCAAATGCTATATGTCCACTTGTAAATGCTGCGATAAAGGTAAAAGGGAGGAAAGAAAAGAGTCTGATTGATTCATTGTGTTTTAAACAAAGATTGCATGCGATAGTATAAATCATCTCCTTGTTTATGTAACATGCATCCCTTTCTTTGATGCTTCGATCCTGAAGATAGTTACTCCATCAACATAGGACAGCTGATGCAATTGCATAGCTGAATCATCAGCGTTCTGTTACCAGATTTCACCATCCCAGTCATCATAATCCAACACCACCCACCAAACATTGGGATACCTTTATACCCTATATTCATCGTCTCGAATGTACCATGCACGTTTCTTTCATAATCAAGTTTTCATTTAATTGCAATACTTTAATGATCCTATATGGTCTAGGTACATGGATACATCGACTACCTATGGCTGCATAAAGCAACACGAATGATGTCAGTGGCTTGCATGTCCAAATTTCCTTTCAAGAGCATCCTGCATTTGTCTCCGCCTCTCACAACATCCTCCTCCTATGACAAGATACACAAAGCTAGGCCGCAAGAAGCATGTCAAAGCCGATGATCAGTTCACGGTAACCCCATTGGCACCCAAGAAACAACAAGAAGGTGACGACAACAAGCCTGCAAACAACAGTCGAGCTTCCAACGATCGTCGACCCAAGCGTAAACATAACTCAGGTAAGTTTCGTTGTGGGCAAATGTAGCTGCGATCGATCTCGAGGCTAATGCCTTTTTTGTATTCTTTCAAGGTAACGCTGACCGATCGGATAAAGAAGCTGATAAACGCAAGAAACGTCGTCAAATGAAAAAGGAAAAGAGCACAGTACGTAAATAAGGTTATGGGGTTGAGGAGATTTATGCATGCAACTGACGTGGGTGGAATAGGTGTGTTTTGGATGTCGACAAAAGGGTCATTCAGTGAGCGAGTGCCCTGAGGCCAAGACCAGCGCAAAAGGCATCTGTTACAATTGTGGTTCAACCGAGCATTCACTGAGCAAATGTCGTAAGCCAAGAAAAAACAGTACGTATATATTTATTCAAAATGGCTATCTGCATTTAAGGAATGCTGACAAGGTGTTGTAGATGAATTACCCTATGCCAAATGCTTTATATGCAAAAAGAATGGACATTTATCCGGTCAATGCCCTGAGAATCCTCATGGTTTATACCCCAACGGTGGTGGATGCCGTTTCTGTGGACAAGTGGATCATTTGGCAAAGGATTGTAAGATAACCAAGGAGGAAGCTGGTACAACGGCTGTTGGAAAAATCGATTTGGACCAAGGTGCCGACGATGATGACTATCACATCTTTGTATCTGAAAAGCAAAAGTTGGATGACCAAACCAAGGTGGAAAAGAAGCAAGCTCAAGCACCTCCCAAGCCCAAAAAGAAGATTGTCAAATTTTAAAACCTATCCTCGTCAATAAACCTTTCATTGTCATTGCTGGTATCCATGGCGACCCTCATTCATTGTCGTATCATTCATTCATTCATTCAATAAACATCATTCTTTGTCGCATATGATTGGATGGAAATCATTTCTTTTTCGTGTTGATATTACAATGCTTTTTGGATCTAACTGTACATGCTGGGCTTATTGAGGATTCTTTGGTGGAGTGGTCTTTCGGGAAACATAGGGGCCAAGCTATCGATAAACGTTGTCAGCGTCACGTATCCCTTATTACTCCTTTTCACTCGTCTCTCGCTTACAGTGAATCCTTCAAGATCAGGAACAACGTAGGTGCGTACTCGATTCCAATCGACCTTGTAACCACCTCGCTTGGTGTGTCGACCCATGGCACCAGTGCCAGTACCTAATGTAAATGTCAGATTGGGCAACATGCGAGGGCAATGGATAGTTGCGGCTCACCCTTGTAGTAGTTGTGACCCTTCTTGGCAGTAAGTGGAAGACGGCTAGCGCCTCGTGGTATCGCTCGAATAACACCAAACATTGTATGGAGTGTGAAGAGAAAAAGAATGCCAGCTAAATTGTAAGCCAGTCTTTCCAGTGTCAATATTTTGATGGCTATCTCCCCCTCCCCCCTCCTATTCTACCCCGCCCGCCACAACTGCTACTAGCTCAGTCAAATTCCTTATTGCATTTGAAACAAGCAAACGTTTATTGTCTACCATCTATAAGCTATATCACATTCATCACCGTATAATACCTATCCGCATAGCTTCTTTTTCTAGAGCTTGTTGCCATGAAGGTGCAGATTGTAATACTGTCAAACGATTCTTATATAATGATACCATGTTGTCTAAACATTTGGTTTCCATCTCCTGCTTTGGTGGTTTTGCATTCTCTCCTTGTGTTGTTGTTGTCGCTGCTGCTAACCCTGGAATTTCCGATGGTGGATGTTCTAATCTCACATAGGGCCAAACCACTTGATAAAGAACACTCCCAACGTCTTGTGCCGACATGAATGGGAGAATATGGTATATGTCCATCAATGACTTGGGCAGAACCTGATATGGCATGGTTAGCAACCTCATCTATCCCATTGTCTCAATAAAATACCTCTTTGAGTAACATGATCAGTCGGATGGTTTCTTCGAGTTGTGTTGCAAACTTCAATGCCGTGGGTGCTTGTGCCACTTGAGACATGTGCCAAAACGCAATGAAATAGACCAAAATGCTCCGTAACGTATCATCCACTGGATATTGAACCACCCTTGAGCACTTGTCCAAGATCAAAAATAATACTGGATAATCCTTGAAAGCATTCCCAATTGCGATGTCTCTAAAAACGCGAATCATAGTTAGTGACATCATGATTACTTTGCATCCGTTTTCTATGTACCTGGGACTCGGGATATTGCGAGGTAAAGCATCATCATACGCTTGCCAAGTCGCAGTTGACGAGGGCCATTTGGATGACATGTGTGAAAGGACATGAAGGATGATCGATCGTACTTGCTCTATATAGATGGTTAGCTTCGTTATAGTTCCCTCTTGTGTGCTTCATGCGTTTACCTTCTGAGGAATTGGTATCCTTGAATCCATAGAACAACCGTGCCGTTCGCTCCACATTGTCAATATAAGTTAGGTCTTGGATCTCGCTATCATCCAACTCGACGAGTTAGATAAAACATCTAACATAGATATTATACACTCACAGCTCATTCTTTAGAAACTTTGGCGTAACAAGGAATTGTGGTGGTCTTGATTGATTGGATGGTGTGGGACCTTGAACTACGCTCAATGAACTAACAACGTTTTGCGTGTCGTTGCTAGGATTGAAATCTGCTGCCTCCATCTTTTCCAGCAAATTCTTCTTTTCCTCTTGCAATGCTTTCAAATCAACGGGTGGAAAAATCTCCAATGCACCTCCCAAAATGGCATCCAGAAACGACGTATGAATCGCCTTTGCGAGCTTTGTGTTCTGACAGCAGTGGACAACTATAAGAATATGGGTGAGCAGCTGATAGATAGCATGCACTACCATTGCCTACTTACTCAAATTTTCAAATTCATCCAATACGCATGCCTCGGTCTCCTTTTCAAAATAGAGATAACGGTTTTTCATGTGTCTGAACCATGCATCGGCGAGAAGTCTTGCCAAAACATTTGGATCGATATAGTCAGATGCTCCTTCCACCATGTCATATTCCCATAGCTTGGAAACGGTAAGCATGCGGTATCCAAGAGCCCGGCATTCCATGGAGGGGTGATTCACAAAGAGCAGTAGGACTTGTCGCCAATGCTGCATAATATAAAGCTGAAATGCACTAAATCCAGGTCGCGTATTCGATTTCTCCTCATCTTGGGAGCCACCATCTTCAAATAGCAAAGTGATATTGGCAAGGATCTTTTGGACATTCACTGCACCAGCGCTGTTGGCAATATGAGTGGCAATGGCTTTTGAAAAAATGCTGCCAAGTGTTGATCTATACACACACACACCCTGATTGTCAGATACCTTCACACAACACATTCCCATTCAATAAAGCCATCCTTACTGGAAAATGTCCGGCCACTTTTCAGTTGCTGCTTCCACCAAGGTCAAAATGATGTAGCGGCCGTAACCATTGGAGACCGAATCATCATCATCAGGCGTTCTCACGATGCTTGTGATAAGTTGAACAAGGGTATCAATAGCGATCGATGGCTCATTGTTCTTGAGTATAATCAGCTGAAGCAAAAACAATGGGATTTTCAAGCCGTCTTTTTGTCGTTGTGCTGATTCCGAGTTGAGGATCGATACAACCCAATCCACGATATCAATCGATGCAGGCTCCAAATTCAGCTGTTCAAAGGTAGGGCGTAAAGAATCGATCACCGAAGCTTGACCAGACTATGTACAAAGTAAATGTGAGAACTTGGCTCATCATCATCCTGTTTTTAACAGCTTACCGGCATCAAATGTTCCAAGCCTAGACGAGGATTGTGTGCCATGGTATCCAAAATAATAGCAATGTCCAATGCGTGCTTCATGACCACCCCATTTCGATCAAATGCAACACCATAAAGCCATCCTGGGAATATCTTTGAGACGGTCTGCACATCACTATAATGGGGGAAAAAAGGGATGGGGATATCAGCTCACGATACCGGAAGATCACTATAGCCTTTTCCCTTACCCTTCAATCGTTCGTACCAATGACTTGCTTTCCTCTCGCTCATACACAAAGATGTTCCCCAACACATCATCATTGAGTAGCTTTCGCGTAATGGCTCCCCAACAAGCTATCATATAAGCATATAAGAAACAATCCTTTGGGTGGGCACGTTGGCTTACCATTTGTGAGATCGGCTGATACCTTTGGCAGTCCAAGCATATAGCCCAAAGTGTAAGCTCTCGTATCTAGGAATATGGATAAGCGAATCTAAGACAAAAGGTTCGATTGTGCGCCATCTTACCGATTTGATCCACATCCATATCTGATCCAGAGAACGTCGAATCATCCATGCCATTTGTCCACGTAATATACGCCTCGAATGTATCTAACAGCGATTGTTGTACAGCTTCAGCATGCGATCCAAGCATATGTGAAAAGAACGTCGCTGCAAATGTTGTCAATTGAGTTTGTGCTGTATCCATGGTATTTGATCTATTATTTGATTCCCGTTAGTCATTGCTCATCTACCCGCGTTGTTTACACTTACGCAGAAATGTGAGGATTGCCGACTTTGGCAAATTGCACGATCAGGTATTTGTGGATGTGTTGCAGTGTGCAGGTGTGAAGTTTCTCGCTCACGTAGCATACTAGCCATAAGGATGTTGCCGATGTTCCTGCCGAGTCTTTGGCCAGCTATAATAGATCGATTATTACATATCCACGTCGATATTGGGATTACCAGCACTTACATTAAACAAGGTATCCATGACACTAAAGGTTTCATTATTCATGAGTCGAGTGTCATACATAGGTTTGTGTGTTTCTTACTTGCCTATCATCGATTGCTTCACAAAAGCTTATGCTCTGGATTAGAAACTCGACAAGGGCGGCATTGATAGGATCTCGTACCATACGCACTGCCAACACGCTGTTGCTAGGCTGGTCTATGAATACGAGGTGAGTCAAGCTGCATTGTATAAAGGCATTGTCGTCTTCCTGACCTTTGGTTGGTGTTCGTTGTTGCAACACATTGTATGCCCACTATAAAACGTAGGTGAGCAATGTGGTGGATTGGCTGGTTAAAGAAGTGCTGTTAAGGAATCGTACCCGAATTAGCTTCCTGGCGTCCGTTGCAAGGTAACGCTTCATGTTCTTGATCGTCAGTATTATCCCATATTGATCTTGTTTGGAAGGTGCTGTTGTTGTCGAAGAAGCAATGGTAGCCGCCAATCGATCGAGATCAGCATCAGGGCAAGTGGGCAGCATCAAGAAGAAAGGAAGAGTTTATCGCGTCCCCGCTTTTGTGCAGAGTTGGCCTTTTCATGCATCCATCCATTTACGTGAATAGCGCTGTCGCACCAAACGAATCACGCTAACATTACTTACAAGGCACCATCACGTTATAATGTGATTCATGCTATCTTTTTTACATCAACTTGCATACCACACTCATTGACCCATTGTATCTTATTGCACCACCCACGACCAACCCATTACTACTCTCTCACACTTTCCAAGCATGTATCCAAATAAAAATAATTTTCCAGTCAAGCGGTTGTGATGATGATGTATTAGAGTGTAAATTAAAAAGTTTACTCCTCGTCGGCAGCCATCTTCTTTTCGAAAGCGGCCTTCTTGGTAGCAACGTTGTTGAGACGTTGCTTGCGGTTGAGACGACGGGGACGGGGATAGGCCTTTTCGCAGGTGCGCTTTTGGGTAGGCTTGGGGGAAGGATCCTCACGGATAGCCTCATGAGCATCAGCGTACATATCCTCAACCTTGTCAGAGGTGATACCAGCCTTCAAGAAACCAGCGAATTGCTTCTTGTAACGCTCTTCATCTTCTTCCTCAAGGTATTCCATGTACTCGGCAACGTGGACACCATAGATGTAGTTGCGGAGCAACTCATCATCGTTGGTCTTGGATTCGATATCGTAACCAGGGAAACGGTTGCCGCTGTGGGGGATGAAGATACCACCATCAGAAGCACCCTTCATGGCACCAAAGACACGGGCACCAGTGGAGGTACGGGCAAGACCGGTATCAAGGAAAGCCTTGAAGGGACGGGGACCATCCTCAAGAGCCTCAACTTCTTGGACAGTACCATCAGGCTCAGTGAAACCTTCGTACTTGTCAGCAAGACCAAGCTTGGCCAAGGTACGGCGAGCCAACAAGAGACCAGTGGCATAGGCTATATAAGTAGTACATGGATCAATAAGTATCATCATCATCGCATCACCCTTATCAAAACTTACCAGCAGCCCAGTTGGTCAAACCACCCTTGATACCATAGCGGGGAAGCTCATGAGCATAGGCAGCGCTAAGGACAAAGTCACCTTGGATCTTGGCGTAGACGATTTGGCAAACAATGTCCTTGTTGGTGAAACGAACAACCATTCTGTACTTGGGGGAGTTGTACTTGTTCTTGGCTTGAACCACCAACCGCTTGCGAGCATAGTAGTCGGTCTTACCCTCTATATTCCACCATACCAATTAGTATATCATGTCATCATATCATATTCAATACGATCGGCTGTAGGTGTCTTTGGTCAGATAGGAGCGAAAGAATTGGGCAACAGCAATGGGTAGTAAATCCATTTTCACATGAACTATGCTTTTAGCAAGTCATCACAGCAAGACAACAGCCGACCGCTTGAAAGAGTTTGGACGAGAAACGTTACCTCTTCTTCTGCGGTACTTGACCTGGTAGCGCTTGAAGTAGGCCTTGTTCTTTTGCTGCTTGACGAATGGCTGTGATAGGGGAAAATTTCAAAAGGTGAGTACACGATTGATCTCCTTCATCCATTCATCCATCCACTCATCCACTCAATCATTCATTCATCCATCCATTTAATATTCATTCATGGTGTTGGATAATGTCATGATGCTACCATCCATGTACATACCATGACTACTGTAAGCTCGGAAAAAGGAAGGATCAACGTTTGCTAGGCAAGTCTCTTTTTGATACTCCCCGCCCCACCGGTGCTTGAAATGTCGACTTCTCCTTTGTGCACCTGTCAAACTCGATACAATCATGATCCACACCACACACACAGATCCCTTTACACTTTAAGAATGATAATGATAGCTTCTTCACATATCCCATGTTGAAACGATTCACAAATACATCTTTTTTCTTCTGCTTTGCTATTGAAAAATGTGTCATCCCATGTACTGTAGCCTTGATTTGAGCTCGATTAGAGTGTGGGGGCAGCCAACATGTCCTTCTTGAGCTTCTCTGCCACCTAATGTATACAAATGGTTAATGTAAAGTTTGTTGACTTCCAGGGTATTATCATAGTACCTCTTTGCCAGCCAAATGCTCTGCCAATGTCAAAGCAAACAAGAATGCAGTACCCGGACCTCGACTCGTGATGACATTCTTATCGACTACCACACGCTCCTCGGAATACTTGAAATCTAGTTGTCATGGCTCATGTTAATAAGGAATCGGTAAAACAAAAAGTAGGTTCTTACGTTGTGTGAGCTGATCCTTGACGCTGGGATAAGACGTAACAGTAACTTCGGCAGGGAGACCTGACGACAATGCAACAAGAGTGCCTACATACATATGAAACAGAAAACAAGCGAATCTCATGAGACAACAAATACAAGTTTATGCATATACACTTTGTTTTACCTGCGCAAATAAAAGAGACGATCTTGCCTTCCTTGTAGTACTTGAGAACCAAACGCTGCACAGCCTCGTTGTCTTTGAGTGTCAACGCACCACCCATACCACCTGGGCAAATCACAGCGTCAAAGCTATCCTGTTGCTCTTGTTAGTAGGATGATGTATGATATAGCAACCTATACTCTTACTTACAGCATCCCATTTAACACCTTGCTCTTCGAATACAACGTCTGGTACAATGTTGATCTTACGACTGCCTTGGGCAAAGATGGAGTTCTTGAGTTGAACACCGGCCACAGTAACCTCCACACCAGCGCGTCGAAGTACGTCCACTAATGGGGGAGCAATGGGGTTAGCTACTACTACTACTACCCATCATGGGCATTGGACGCTTGTATGTTCATTGCTTACCTGGAGTAGAGAATTCCATCTCTTCGACACCATCAGCCAAAAGAACGAGTGCTTTCTTAGTCATTTTTGTATGAGACTGAAAAAATCGAAAGTTTGCAGGAAAAAGAAAAGAACGCGCTTGCACTGGCCTTAAAACCACCGGGGTGGTGCTTGGTGTCATTCTCACGCCACCACATCCTTTGACACAATGTTGTAATACTCCACCAAACAATCGTTGATATGTTGACATGAAATAAATGTTGTGTGGTTGGAAACACAAAATAGGGGATGGTTGTAACTTTTAGCGGTCTCATGTGTGTGTGTGTGTGTGCATAATGCATTGACGAGTGTTCATCCAATCAGGGCGTGTGTTTCCTCTCCCAAATGATATACCCACCAAGGTGAGAAAAAATGTCCATTGTATTGTCAAGAACTTAAGATTTGTGGCGCGGTTACCATGGCAACTTCGATCGTTGCCAGGAGACACGCAATGTACAAATTTGTGCCATGTTCATCACGATCCTTCCTTTGCTTCTTTTCCTGCAAAGTGTACATTTTCCATCATCCTCGAATATACTCATGGTCAATGATGTCGAGATATCAGGACTAGCTGCTGTCTTTGCTGCTGTTGGATTTATCATTATCGTTGTCGTATGTGTGCGCCAAATGACAAAACAAAGCAAGAGTAAGATGAGAAATGTATAAAGCTAGATCCCAGCATCCGCGTATTCCTTATATCTCCTGGATAGACCTTGCGACTCGTGAGGAACAAAGACGACGAAGACGACTACCACCACAAGCTGACACTCGTCGTCAAAGACAACGAAATGATGAATGTTCAATTTCAATCGATGATGCTCCTCCACAATATGAAGTGAGCATGATTACACCTCCTCCCCCCGCTTATACGGAACAACAACATCAAGATCATCGTCATCATGGCCTGTGATCCTTCACAAGGCTGTTCATCAGGCGGTTCCATAAACCTGGGATTTCACGTTTTACTTTATATGTGCATGAATGTGGCTCGGGACCTCCCACCACACCACGAATCGAATTGTACAGACTATACTTTACAAGATGAAAGATCAATCTCTGGGAATAAGGCTGAAACGATCTCGTCAAAAAGGGTATATAATAGATCTTGGTTCAATCGTTTGTTTTGAAGCACCGTAAACAATCGTCGTGCACCTCGTCTTGCATTTTGTCGTCCTACCATCTGGCCAATCAAATCTAATACCAACAAACAATAAAATGAGTAACATGCAACATTGTAAAGGGTTACGCATCATCATTACCTGGTAACCATGTTGACAACTTTCGATTCGCCGCCTCTTTGGTACGCTGCTTCTCATCGGGTTGTCGTGGAGGCTTAAACGTAAGCGATTGACCACCAGGCCACAAGCTATCCAAGATCTTGCGAAGGTAAAAAACGATCATGGGTTCAGATTCCAGAAAAACCACTGTGTCACGTAATCGTCTAGTGAAGCGGAAAATCGGTCAACAATAGGCCACGTTATAGCCAACAAGCACATTTTACCTTTCGATAGTGCCACCAAGGATTTGCTGTAGGATGATCACTAAGGCTTGTCGTCGAAGCCAATTGTTCTTTTCCTTGAGTTCAAACATCTCCACAAAAAGATCACAAAGGGACTCTGTCAAATTGGTTGCTTCTTCTGCTTGTGCCTTGAGCGGATCAACGAAATCAGGAGGAACAGCAGGGGTGGTTGCATGGAAACCAGTAGCGTCATTTGTCTCCTTTGTATTCGCCTCTTCATCAATAAATCCAACAAATTGCTTGCCAACCAGTTGCTGTGTAATGAAATCGAGCATCGACGGCGCAACAGATAAATCATCAATCCCGTCTGCCACAGACTTGTAGATATTGCGCATAAACCCTGTTTGAAGTGCTTGCTCAGTTGGCATGATATCATTGTTGTTGCCTGAGGATCGTTGAAAGCTCTTGGATGATGCTGTGCTTGAAGTGCTGGAGGATGGTTGCAGTTGTTGCTTGAGTAAATCAGAGGATTTCATTCCTGTAGACCGAGATGGAACAACGCCATCAAATCCACCATGTACACTTTGTTGAGATAAAAACGCACGTAATTCTCGACTTTGGCATATATTACGATCCTCCAATAATCGACGTAGATATCGCTCCAATGTTGCCCTGCGTCCTTCCACAAATCCCTTTTGGAGTCGTAACAATGGCCATTTTGCAGGAAAATCCAAGCTCTTGACAATGGCATAGCGTTCCTTCAACTTGGTGTGCAATGCGAAAAACTCGCTATAGCGTCGAGCCACCATCCATCCAGAATTATAGTTCCCTTCAATCCCAAGCTGTTGTATCTCGATCACATAAAGTGCAAAATCCCCAGCAGCATCATTGCCAATAGTCGAACTTGTCACACTAACCCTTGTTCGATGCTACATGCCATTTTGTTAAACAAAGATTATCGATTCGTATGACGATGATGACTTACAGGTATCAGGACATTTTCTGATTCTTGGGCCTCGTATTGATTCTTTTGGTATTCTAGCTGCTGGATCTCTTGCCTAAACATGGCTTTGCTTTTCTTGAGAATCCTCAACTTCTCTCCCATGTTGCTAGCTTCTGCCTTTTTGATCAGCTGATCCACAATGGCTTGTTGTTGCATAAGCTTTTCCACTTCATCCGATAATCGCTCAATGGCTGAAGACAACATCAAATCACCAGGTGGAGCAAGATGAACGTTTGCCGTATGTGATTTTGTATGCTGCTCTTGTTGTTGTTGTTGTATACTGCCATCTTCACTGGACATCGTTTTCAATATATTCTGGTCATCAAATCCTTGCGCATCATCTGATATTTCTCGTATAACGCTCGAACCAGTGGAAGAGGCCCATGATTGCAACGTCACTCCATGTTGAACAGGCACAGCTGTTGTTGACTTTGCACCACGAGGATCACGTAACAAGAGGGGCGAGCTGATTTGCTTTTTGGGAGATGGTGTCGGTGGTGGTGAAAATGATAACGTTGATGATCCTGAAGATATCTTTCTTTTCCCAACCTTGGCATTGTCATCCGTGGTAGTGGCAGTGTTATCATCCCAATCAATGATGGATTGTAATTCAGCCTCTACAGCTTTCACTGTATTTGTACGTACAAGTGGATGTCGTGATGTAGCTGATGTTGATAATGGTGGTATCTCGTCTTCTTGTTGGGGTATATGTTCATCCACAGCAGTGGTGGATTGGTCATCATCCTCATCATCCTCAGTGGATAAATCATCGGTATCAAATGATTGAAGCGATTGCCTTGGGCTGCTGCTGCTGCTATTGCTATTGTTCTCTTCATCCATGTTGGATTCATTTCCACCCCACCAATCATTGGCTGAAGTCTTTCCCCATTCGAAGAAACGTGCAATACCGCCATGTGCTGTCTCTGATAGGGTTCTCGCATGTCCTCCACGTGCTGATTTCTCAACTTGATCCTGTTGCTGCTGCTTCTTGGCACGATTGCCTTTACTGATTTCTGTATCTGATTCGGCACGACATGCTTGATCGAGTGGAACATCATCCCAACATGATGATTTGTTCTTGTTCATGCTTGCAGATGATGTTCTTTGTAATGGCACCGGTCGCATTGCATTGATGATGCTTCCAGTACTCGATTGGTTGCTGGGGGTTACATCGATACACATATCTTCGTGTATGGCTGGTTCTTGAATGACATTGGGAGTTGATGCAAGGAACTTGAAATACAAATCGGATCTCTTGAAATAAGGGAAATGATCCTTTTCCAACTGATAAAACACATGGCGCTGGATCTCATAAAGCCGTAAACGCATGCGCTGTACGGCGTGGGGTATCTCGAGAGGGGAATCTTGAATAGCATGCTCAGCACGCGAAATGGCTTCATGTAAATCATCGGCAAGAGGATCGGGCAAAATGATACGATGCGGCGCACTCTCCATAAGATACATCGTATACACCATATTGACATCTTGCAAAAAGGTGGATGCTGATTGTGATGATGGGTCGCTTTTCTTGAATCCTTCAATGATCAACCAGAATTGTAATTTCATAATGTCACCTCGCCTATCCATAAACTCCATGAAATAGGACAAGCCGGCAGGATTGGCGAGAATATCATCAAGGCTGTATCCAAAGGGTTGACTCGGAAAAGCTTCACTGCGTCGACGATGCGAAGATCCACCAAAGAATGTTCTGCCGAAACCCTTATCATACGTTTGACCCGTGAGCAATGCAATGCGCTTATCAACACGTCTCTTGGCAACACTGAGACGATTCAAATAGATCGTGATATCGCCAACACGTTCGCCATCCATCACTTCATCAGGATCTCGATCATCTATTATGGAAAGAAAAAGGAATCAGTGGAATGTGTATGTGTGTAGCAGGTACTACATGAGATGCAGATGACTTACGGATCTGGACCCGCTTTTTCCGTAGCTGTGTAACAATGTCGTTGCGAACACGCTTGAGCTCGAGCAAATTCTTTTCATCCTCAATCATTCTCAAAAACTCTTGAAACGATCGTTTGCCCATACGAATACGAGAAAAGGCATCATTATCAGCTTGATCAAAGATGGAAGAGAGTGAACTCGCTTGCAACAATTCGGGCCGGCTACGATTACGACTAGGGCGTCTTGGTCCTCCATTGATAGGCGAGGGCTGTGGTTTAGCTGCAGCAAGGGCTTCTTCCAAGTCAAGTTCGGTGGAATGACGATTCAATACTTCACGAAGCTTGTGCACCATTTTCCTAAATGACATTTATGATGATGACGATGTTAGCTATGATGCCTCTTGATGTACATGTCATTGCTCGTGCGCTCTTACTGTTCACGAATAGCTTTGCCCAACTAATTGAAAAATAACAGCGTGAGAATGTGATTGGCATGCATGCACACACACACAAATGGGGGGGATACGTTACATAAGTGTCAATGGTCTGGTTCCAATAGTCTGGGTCTGCCACCATATCAATGACGGGTTGAAGAATGGCGCATGAAACGATTTCACGAATAAGAACCGATACAGGGGTGCTGGATAATTCCTTCTGGTCCATCACACATGGCATGACATGTTCAATGACTTTGCGTAAATGCACGACTTCGGTGGGTTTGGTGGTTACAGCAGCTGTTGTCAAAGCGGAATGCAGCCGCCCGTTCCGAAACTGCGACGCCAATAGCAAATCAAGTTCATCCGACTGGGTCACCGAGCGTTCTAGTGAGCGTCCTCGTAGTGCAATCTCGGCTGCACGAAAATCGGAAATATGAGCAGTGATGATGGGAACAAGGCGATTGACAAGGATCCCCACAAGATCGGCTTCTTGAACTCGCTTCTTCAATGCCACCACCGATAATCGTATCAATTCATCCACCTTTTTGCGAAAGGATCTCTCATGCGGCCCGGCCACATACACGAACCAATAGTCGATAAAATCGCGTAACACGTAGGACAAGAGTTGCTCGAATGCATCAGAAACCTCTTTTGACTCTGGTGCCACATCCAATGGTGGTGGTGGCGTGTTTGTCCCATCGTCGTCATTCTCTTGTTGTCGTTGTTGTTCAATGCTCGCCCATATCCGTTCACTGGCAAAACGTAATGGCTTAAAGTCCTGAGGCTTGTGCTTGGTGGGTGATAAAAAGTAGCGAATGTATACAAGTAATACGGCAATGTTGAAAAAGACCAGTGCCAGCACAGTCGTCAGAATGAGTGCAATCGCCCAAAGAACATAATGGAATGTGTGTGGCCATAGCAACCACAGTGGAATGAGAACGAGAACGAGAAGATAAGGAGGAGCTCGCAACGATTCAATTGAAACGGCGGGCATAGCAGTCGACAATGACCGCCAATGTCATGACTTGGGAGAGAGAAAAGAAAGAAAATACAGTCGCCTTGGCAAGAACTCGGGCGTGTGTCACTTTTGGAATACAAGAAAGGTTGCACACTCAATGTCGATCTGCATAGCAAATGAGCCACGACATATTTAACTCTCCCCCTCCCCTCCCCCCTTGTTGTTGTAGTTTCAATCTAATTGTATCAGGTTTTGTTAGTTGTCGCTCATTATACCTTACCTTTCTCTCTTTCTCTTTCAAGTAATCATACTCCAGCATGGATGTTATGATGTATTTGCTATGGAATAAAGAAGACCAAACAAGCATGCAATGCATGTGTCTACTATTTGCAGATTCAATCCCCAATACAAAACAACCAATTCGCCCAATCAACATATACGTATACAACCTAAATGCTGCAGATGTTCCTGATGATGATGTTGTACCAGTGCAAGAATGTCATTTTTGATCACAAATGTCAATGGATGGGTGCTGGTATCACCTCCCAAAAGTCATGAGATAATGCGGCACCCCCTTACCAAACTCTCTCTTCTCCATAACACACGTGCAAGCTAAGAACCCCCGAGTTGGTTTCATTGTTACAAAGAAAACACTAAACAAATGTTGCATCATGGACTATGGTTGGCAGCGTATGACCTGAACTAAATGACAACTACTCACGTGATCTTTGCCAGCCATGTATTGGAAGGCTTGGACTTTTGCTTTCTCAGGTAGCTCGATACTCTTTCGTCGCACATACTCCGCCTTGATCATGAAGGTACGCAATTTTAACGCCCAGACCAGCAACTAATCTTTTGAAAGACGCTCATCCAAACATTATCAAAATGCTTACATAATAAGGATGCTATGTCATTTGCACACCTGCAATCTCGAAACAAACATGAATTTGGCCCTTACATACGTAGCTCTTTAATGGATTTACAGCGAATGATGAATCAATGAACCTTTCAAAGTACCAACCTATGCTAAGGTAGGCGATAAGAAAGTGCCCTAGTAATGGTACTTTTTAACAATACAGCAATGGGCTGAACCAAGTCACGTGAAGTAATGGGTATAGCTCGTGCGTAAGGAAAGCTAAACGAGTACCACGTGCTCATTAGCAGGATTCATGCGATCAACGTATGGATCCAAAGACATGTGCTGCTGCCAAAGGGTAAGCGTTTGATTTACTTAATAACCGGGGAAAAGAAAGTGAATTAGGATTTGCAAACTGATTTCCTTTCGGAGCGCCGGGCGAAAGAGGTGCCGTGGTAGTGTAACGGCTCAATAGGGATGACCAAGCTTTTGTTCACTCAAATCACCGCTTGCCTGTCATTATGCTAAACAAAAAAGGTGCACATGATCCGATACTTTTGCCGCATTGCCCTAGCCCATGCATCATATAAATACTCAGTTGATTTATCCCTAATCCTTCCCACCTTTTGTTTTACTTGTTAACTTGATCCCATTTAATCCCTAATTCTTAATCTTCTACTACATCAAACACCATCATCATCAGCAACATGCACCTATTATCATCAGGATCAGATCCATTACATATCCAACTCGAATCGGATCAAATCATTTTGCATGGTTTAGCAGAAGAATCTGCTGGCGCCACTATACGAGGATCAGTGACGCTCGATTGTATTGAAAGCACCAAAATCAAATCCATTGCTTTGAAGCTCGTTGGTAAAAACAACGTTTGGTGGTCTGAAGGTAATAAAAAATTATGACAGCTGCACACCCGCCGGGCGGTCCGACCCGATTGCGTGATTTTTAAGCTGACATGTGTTGATCATAATAGGACAAGGATCTGGTCAACGTCATTATCACGAGGAGCGCACTATTATTGAACATTCTTGGAACATTCTTGAGGCCCAACGTAAAGCATACCATCTTCCCAAGGGTAGTTACAAATGGTAAGGACGACTGAAACAATCACACACTTTCTGCTTGTTGCAATACATTTACCCATCATTCATCATCGTCCATAATAGGAATTTTGAATTACCGCTTCCAGGTGATCTTCCAAGTACTCTCCATCACGACCAAGGCCAAGTCCATTATCATTTAAAAGCCGTTGCTGAACGAACGACTTTTACGCTATACAACTATGTGGCAAAACGAGATTTTCAAATCACACGTCTTATGCTCCCCTCGTCTTTGGAACTAAACCAATCGGTGGTTGTAGTCAATGAATGGCCCAATAAGGTTGCATACAACATTAGTATCCCACGCATGGTGTTTAGCCCTGGAAGCCAAGTTCCCATCAGTTTTGAATTGGCACCCTTGACCACTGGATTATCCGTTCAAGGCATCATGTGCTCTTTTGAAGAGTACGTGACCTTGACAAGCCATTCGCATTCCATGAGTGAAGGCCGTGTTGTCAAAGCTGTATCCGATAACAAATTCTCATCGTCACAGGATCAATGGAGCCGAACAGAGGTCTTTAATGTGCCTGAGGATGGCAACCACTTGCAATGTGATGTGGCCAGCAGTTTGATTTCTATTTCACACAAGCTCAAAGTGATGGTGATGTTGAAGAACGAAGATGGCCATACATCCGAATTGAGAGCAACAATACCTATTGTGATAGCCTCTGTGGCACCCGAACAAGAAGCCAATGAATTACCAGCTTATGAAGATGCATGGAAATCACAACCCTATGATGCACGTAGGGTGATCGAAACACAAGTCGCCTCGGGTCAATTGCCATCATCATTGGCATTCGCTACACCCGATGCAGCTGCAAGTCAAATCCGACCTTGTTCCGAAAGCAGTAGCATGATCAGCAGCAACAGCTCGGATGATGAAGAAGAGACCCTACCTCCTTTGCCTTGGGAAGGTGTGGACTTGACGCTCGTGCCATCGTATACCACAGCTGTTCGATCAGGTCGTTTATACAGCTTTTCAGGTCCATCATTACCCACTTATGAATCCATCGCTATGCCTGGCACCAGCACCACTGTGTAATCTCACTTTTTCTCCCTTTCCCCCAATCACTCATAGTATCTTTTGTACATAGTCTACTCGCATACCATCATTCACTCTTTTTAATTTGTGATCTTTGACAAGTTCAATATACCAACTACATTGCTACATTTAAGCTCTATTATGTATATGTATCGGCGTGTGTGCGTGTGTGTGTGTGTGCCCCGCTTTGGGTTGCTGCTCTTGTAACTCCTCCACTTGTTTCTCTTTTTTCTCTCTCTTCTTCTCCACCACCCGAAATGGCCCAATCGAACGAATCCAATGAGAGACCTACTGGTGCCGAGGCTGCTGTGTTGTTACAGTCTGTCGAAATGCCCGAGGATGCCGTCTTGATTCAAGGTCCTGATTTCAACAAAAAGTTGTCACTTTCGGATCTCATGGCGAGTTACCGTACCATGGGCTTTCAAGCAAGTGGTCTTGGTGAAGCAATTGACATTGTGGAGCAAATGGTAAGTATCTATCGATTGCCCTTGTGCGATTAGGTCTCTTTCGATATGGATATTGTATATGCTTACAAGTGTATGTCTATTATGCTTTATAGCGTCGGTGGAGGTTGTCAGATGAACCGATTGCCGAGGATGAACAAGAAGACTACAAGGATCCCAAAGTGCGTGAACAAACCAAGTGCAAGATCTTTTTGGGCTACACATCGAACCTTGTGTCATCAGGTGTGCGTGAAGTGATCCGTTTCCTTGTACAGCATAAGATGGTGGATGTGATTGTGGCGACGGCTGGTGGTATTGAAGAGGATTTCATCAAATGTTTGGCACCTACGTATCTCGGCGACTTTAATCTTCGAGGAAGTGATTTACGCAAGCAAGGATTGAATCGCATCGGCAACCTCTTGGTACCCAACAACAACTATTGCAAGTTTGAGGATTGGATCACGCCTATTCTTGACAAGATGCTCGAAGAACAAAAGACCAAGAATGTTATTTGGACGCCTTCTTCCATGATTCGTCGTCTCGGTGAGGAAATCAATGATGAATCGAGTATTTATTATTGGTGTGCCAAGAATGATATCCCTGTGTTTTGCCCTGCTATTACAGATGGCTCACTCGGCGACATGATTTATTTCCATTCTTTCCGCAATCCCGGTCTCATTGTCGACATTGCTGCTGATATCCGCAACATGAATAGCCAAGCTGTCTTTGCCAAAAAGACTGGTATGATTATCCTCGGTGGTGGTCTCATCAAGCATCATATTTGCAATGCCAACCTCATGCGTAATGGTGCTGATTATGCGGTGTATATCAATACGGCTCAAGAATTCGATGGAAGTGATGCTGGTGCACGCCCGGATGAAGCTGTATCGTGGGGTAAAATCCGTGCCGATAGCAAGAGTGTCAAGGTCTATGCTGAAGCATCTTTGGTGTTCCCTCTTATTGTATCAGAGACGTTTGCTAAAGGATATCATCAAGAGAAAGAATCTTCATCATCCTCATCATCATCCTAGAGACATATATACACACACACATACTCCCCCATATCAACAAGCATCAACACCATAGAATTGTAATCGTTGCAATGAAAGATATATAAACTTTTTCTTTGATAATACAGCTCAATGGTTTTCCTCATCATCTTCCAACATGCTATCCTGACTATCAATATCCTCGCCATCATCGTCGTCATCTGATAGATCCATTGGGTCATGGTGATTGTTGCCACCCGCAGCCGTTGTCGTCGCCGCCGTCGTAGTGGTAGTAGAACCCGTACCAGCATTGTTACCCATTAGTACCTCCAATAGAACTCTGCGCTCAGTTTGCAAATGTCTGAGCTTCTTTTGTATCGACATCCATTCGTCGTTGAGGATCTCGTTTTCTCGTAAAATGTAACGTAGCTTGGCTTTTGCAAGTTTGTATTTTTGGGCTTGTGTCAATGATGAGTCTTCGTCGTCTGATATGGATCCTCGACGATAATGGTGTGATTGATACACAGTGGGCATTGGATGATGGTGATGATGTTGTTGATGAGAGTAATTTTGTTGATGCTGATGATGTTGGTGGTGGTGATGGTGGGTAATGGGTGCAGCCATTCGACGTCGTTTGTTGGGAGATGTTTTGATATCAGGTTGCTGCTGGTGCTTCCTCACTGGTTTGGGGTCTTGTGGTTCATGCTCAGCCTTTTTATGTCGCATCAATGCATCTTGACGTCCAAATCTATGGTTCACATAGGGTTAAGTGACCCATTCAGCCATACAGATATATAGATGGAACTTACGCTTGATCACAACCAGGATGTTTACATACAAACGGCTTTTCTCCAGTATGGATACGTAAATGCATCATCAGAGCAAATCGAGAATGGCACTTGACACCCCGTCGAGCACAATTGATCCAATCACAAACATATTCAGGTCGTTTCCATCCAACGTGATCTAGGATACAATGATGAATATAAACACACATCACACACATATGGATACCCTTACCTTCGGATAAATGAGCTGCAAGAGTTACATGGTTCTCAAACTGCTGTTGACAGTCTCCCCAGTGGCAAAGAAGGGTATCATGAGAGTGCCCAGGTGAAGCACGGTTGGGGGTATCAGTGTTGTTGTTGTTGCTGCTGCTGCTATTGACAACTTGTAAAGGGGGTGATGTGGTCTCTGTCGATGCCATTGTAGAACCACTCATTCCTGATGGGACAGAAGGTGGAGGTGGTGGAGCTGTTGGTGCTGCCACAGGCGTTGCCATGTTGGCTGGTGGTGCTGAGAGTGACATTGGGTCAATGGAAATAGAGGAATGGTATATACACAAAGCAGATGAGGTAAAAGATTTAGAGGGCACAGCCGCGCACGCTCACACAAGCAAGAAGTAGACCGTATATGAGTGAGTGTTGTGCGTGTGTGTGTATGTGTATGTGTGCAAGGACGGTACAAGGAGAAGCGAAACGCAACAAGCACATCCTCACACACGACCGCTGGTCGAAAATATCATAGCACGCACGCTCCGGGCGGTTTTGCTCTCACTCTCAGAAGGACGAGGGATACATACTTGGATGAGGAGGTCCCTTTTTGATGAAATCAGATATCATCTGTATTTGTAGATTATAAAACAAACAATAGAAATGAAAAAAAGGAGGGAAATAGTCAAACTATGTGGTATTCTCTTTTACTCTGATGTCTTTGGGCCAATGTAAAGTGATTTAGCTTCACTATAACGCGTCTCGCCATCCGTACTTTCAATCCATGCTTGTACATAGGCCTTACGACCTTCAATACGATCCAGATGACCTCTTAATACAACCCATTGATCAGCTTTGAGAGGTTGTCGATAATCAATGTTCAAGTTGGCTGTAAATCCAATATTGTTGGGAAGTGATGCAAAGGCCTACATAATAATAACGGCGATCTCAGAACCAAAATTGGGAATTGGGAATTGTATCACACTTACCACACATCCCAAGATCTCATCCAACAAGGTTGCAATCATACCACCATGAATGATCCCAGCATGACCACACAATTGTTTACCCAAATGTAATGCGGATACCACTTCAGTCCGAGCCTTGTTGTAAAACAATACAGGAGGTACGATGATCTTGTCCTTGCCACGCAACGCCTATTTTATAATAACCCATGCATGAATGAGTCTCTTTCTCCCATAATACCCAGCAAGACCTCCACCTTACCGAAGCTGTCAATGATTGTAATCGTGCTTCCTCCTTCAATAGGCTGTATGGGTCGACTGCAAAGTAATCATCACTCTCTCTAGCAGCTCGAATGGCAGGAATTTGCTCTTGTTCTTTCTTCATGGCTTCAGTCAATTGATCAAGCTCAATGATCTCGGGCATGTTCTCTGAAGTAGTTTGTTGTTGTTGTTGTTGTTGTGCTTGTTCGATTTGCATGATGATAGGAATTGAGAAACAGAAGATGACAGGGGAAAAACAACCCATTTGCTGGGAGACTTTTATAGGCAAACGGTCTTTTTTGTCGTACACTTATCCGATCGCGGATCTGGTTTTAATGGCAGGTCGGTTTGACAGGTTTTAGAATAAAAATCAGCTTGGTCAGCATTATCTGGGTTACTTTTTTTGTCAGCAACAGCTTTGGAAACAATGCCATGCACGCTTTGCTTGCCTCGAAATCCGATTCGCGCACCCCAAAACCTGTTGTGCACGTCCTTTTTGCTTTTATTAGGTTATCGGCAAGCAAATCCGGGGACACGTGTATACATCAAAAAAGGACATCTTCTCGGCTATGCTTGATGCCGACGATAAATCACAGTCATAGAATAGCTCAAAAGTAGAAATGGTTGAGAGCGAGCTTTTTGTCACTGAAGGTAGAAATGCAATGTGTGGATTGCAACGGTGGACTTTCAAGGACATGTTATTTGCGGCACCTGCTCCGCATCATCATCTATTGAAGCTTAAATGGCATCATTTTTCGGCACGCAAACGTCAATTTCCTTAGCTACACCACCCCATTCTTACGACCTTCTCCAAATTAAAGATGCCAACTTTAACACTTTTATACTGAAAGGCTTCATTCGTATGCCAAATTCTCGTCTACCTCAACATGCCACGTTCATCATAGGCACGGCTTAAGTATCATCTCTCCCATCAGTGGCCAAAGGCGATGCACCATATGCTTGAATTACGCATATTGTGGGCATCCTTACATCACCTTCAAACAATTCCTTGTGTATGTGTGGGTTGATTTATCAGCCGTTGACGTTGCATTACGTACCTTCGATCTACTATTCTCAGCTGCTTGACCACTTTATCAATTTCAATCCATTACAACCTCGTTCTCTTGGATGGACATCAACCATTCCCACGCCCAAGCACATAAAAGCAAGGATGTGGTCACAATAACCCAAATCTCTTTTGTGTATTGTCTATATCATCCAGAGCCTACTATTTGGTAGGTGCAAAGAAGAGATGTATAGATCAAAATAGCTCATGTGTTACTCTTTGTCAGCTTTTTGTTTCTTTATTGCTTGTGTTCATTGTTGTCGTTATGATATCTAATCTTACTCCCTGATGGATCCTTTGTGCTTGAGCGCCATACGGGCTTCAACCAAAGTATGATACCAATGCCGGCTACCGGGTTAGCCCAAGACCTTTACAAATGTGGCCATGGAAGTCATGCACAAAGGATGTGAAGAGCATACTGGAAAGCGAAACGGTTCGAAAGCTGGTGGTTAAACTTGGATCCGCGCAAAGATTACGTATGCCAAGTTCAACGCAAGCATGAATTTACTATATGCAAACAACGGAGAACGACTGCCTATCATTCGAACTGGTCGATCCGATTTCTTGTTGCAAAATGTTAACGACCCTAACCCATCCTTGGATGATGCTTAGCCAACCAATAGTCGCTTCACAAATGGCTGGTATATGGCAAAAGCTATCATTGAACCGTATCTTTTCTTGTACACAACCTGGCGATGAAGATCACACGACTAGGCCATAACGAGGTGGCCAATTTGGCATCCCATGTCAGATGAAAGGTCGTGGCACAGAGTTCACTAGCACTAAATGACATCCTAGGTCCACATAACTTCCTCGATATACCATGCTCATTGTATGGACCCATCCACTAGCATTGCTATGTATCCTAACAATCTTTCATTTCCCTCCACAATCTCTTCACTTCAATCTTTACATTTGTATCCACAACCTCCGGAATATAGAATGCTGATGAATGTATGGTTCTATGCTGTAATTGCTTTTTTCATTTCATGTATGTCGGGGGGTGGAGAAAGTAGGAAGGGAATATATGTACACAACATCTATGACAAGGTTGTCAAGTCGATCAAATCGAAACGTCTAGGTTTGGGTTGGCCTGGTGGAATAGGCAATGATGCTTGTCGGTCGTAAACAACGCCCACAAATCGACGCTTTGGTTGTTGAGGATCCTTGTAGAATTGCACAAAGCCGGGTTCCAATGCAAACAATGTGTGATCCTTGCCCATACCAACCTATTCATTTTACATCAGCATCATTGTTGTTGCCATGCCAACATGAATCCAGCATGTGTGTGCGTGTGCGTGTGTGTGTGAATACTTACATTATCACCAGGATGGAACTTGGTGCCTCGTTGACGTACGATAATGTTGCCAGGAATAACCTCTTGTCCTCCAAACTTTTTGACACCTAAACGACGACCGGCAGAATCTCTACCGTTGCGTGTGGAACCACCAGATTTTTTACTGGCCCATCGCACCTGCATCCATTCTATCCATTTGTCGAAACACAAATTAGGATGTATAGGTCGAGAAACACGGTGACATGGATCGTCATTGAAGGTTGTCTACATACCGTTGGCGTTAATGGAAGGTCGTGTTGCTGTCCTGAGCTGTGTAAACGATCGATTCAACAGGGACATTGTGTTTGCGATGGCCGCGGTGTGTTAAAGAAGCTGTTGGTCCTTCCTGCTCCCAAAACAAAAATAATCGGGCCCAGTGGCTCAGACTGGAGACTTCCATCGCCGACCAATGTCTTGATTACTAGGGTCATTGATACAACACTTACACATCCAATGCATTTATTCCTTTCTTCTTCATTAAGCTACTAGACAAGAATCATCATGATCACAAATAAAATACAATTCGTTCATCATAATCTCGGTTTACAAGTGCATAAGGATTGGAGTGGAGAAAGATGTGATCCATTTGTATATATCCAAATGTAAGAAAATCGATCATGCCTTTTGCAACAAAGCAAGTACTATTTTGAAAAGATCGTGGAATGTATATATAAGTGATGGATCATTGTTGTAGACCTTTTCATTGTGTACATTTAAGATAGAGGGGCATTGCAAGTAGTTGTCCGAACCGGACTTGAGTGCCCGGGGGTGGGGTTGTAAAAGGTGACCCATGACCTAGGTAAGCAAAACTCCTCTTTTGACACAAAAACATATACGATATGGCATTACGTGCATCGCTCCTCGGTCTCACTTCACGACTCACTTCATCAACATTGACCCGACCATTCTCGTCGTCAGTCGCCGCATTCGCACAACGTGGTCCCAACCCAGCAGTATCTGAAGCCACCACCAACAACCCCACTACTCCCACCTCTCCCCTTGCCGCCGATTTCACTACTCTCAAAGAATTATCAACCTCCCTTGAACCCTATGCTGGTCGATCTATAGGCAACGTCAACAATCCCAACGTTGCATACCGTAAAGTAAACGCCATTTGCCGCTGGAACAACGTTCAGCGCGAGATCAGAGCCAACCGTTACTATGAGAAGCCCACAGTTGCCAGAAGAAGAAAGAACATTGAACGTAACCGTAAGCTGTTTGGCGCTATGGTTGGCAAGAAGGTTGCTTTGATTATGCAAATGAAGAACCGGTAACGTATACTCATAATGTGGTTAATCATCATGTTGGCTGACAAGGTGTGTTTCTAGGGGCATGTAAATCGACACCGTATTGTACACCAAAAAAGTAGACCACGTATTCACACAGCATTGTATTTTTTCTCAACCCTGATACACTTCATTACATGTCAATCATTTGTTTTGTGGAGGAATGTAATCCAGCTTGTGCAGCAAACGAATATCATGCAACATTGTTGATGTGTGGCTTGTGGACTTCAGGGACAGGAGGATGGTGGGGAAGGTATTGAGAGTGATGATGCCGGTTGTCAAGACGACGATCATTGCATGGCAACGAGCTTGGGCGATTTCATCTTGTGACACGATCCAGGCAACAAACAAAATGAGGAATTGCTTATGTATGGGACTCGATCCAAACAACAACCGCACAAACAAAGAACATGCAAATTGGACAAAGGCATATGACGATTGTGTCTATCATGGTGACTGGATCCTTATGTTGGTTGACCAATGTACAACCTGATGCTTGCACTCCGCTGCCATTTGGTCTCACAAGACGTTGTTTCGTTGGTTCTTCTTTTCGCTTGTTATCGCCAGGGAAATGATACAGGGACGTGGAATGTTGCTGGATGTGTGATGGGGGAGTTGTCATTTATATGCGTCATGCATTTCTAAACAAACGAACAGCTTGATGGGACAGCGTTAGCCAAAGATTTATGCTCGTGAACATCTTCCTACAACGTAACAATAGATTTGATCCAGGGCACACCCACCACAAAAGCCTACCAATAAAAGTTTCTTCTACCATAAGCAAATCGAGTATAGTGTATTACAACCCATTGTGTGTGCAGCACGATAATAAAGTTGCTATCACGTAGTACGTGAGCAGGTGACAGATGAACCAGCACGTTTTTATACAATTTGAATCGGTCATACCAGCTTCCCCTCATCATCTTTTTTTTCTCTTTCTTTCTTTCCTTTATCAGCTTGTTTCAACCATGTTGCGAATGTACTCAGTGATGCAGCTTCAACAAGTTTGGAGCAACAAACCAGAGGCACAAGAAGACGTATTGCCACCCACCTCTCCAGTAAATGATGTACTACCTGCAGTGCAAGAGGAGGCAGCAGAGGATGATAACGATGCTGCTGCTGCCGGAACCAGTATGTGTATACAGTAGTTCATTTATCTATAGTTCTGATAGCACACACACGCACATGTTGTTGACTGATATGCAAATGACCCCCTCCCTATCGCATCAGCAGAGCCGAGCGAGTCAGCTATCGGGAAAGATGAGGACCAAAAGAAGGATAATGTGACACATGATGGAGAGGAAGCAGCACTTGTCAGTGGGGATGCCGTTGCTAAGCAACAAGTGGACAACAATAATGAATCGGGCCACAATCCTAAGCGCGATAGCAAAATGTCGGCAGGTTCGTCTTCCATTACAGACTCGGGCAGTAAGCTGGCAGCACATGCACTCCCATCACCTATCGTGACAAGGACAACTTCTACTGCTACGGGAGAGACATCTTTGCCAACAACACCCATTTCACCCAAAACAAGTCGATCTTCACAAATCCAAAGCAAGCTTGCTTCTCAACGTCGAAGCTTCTCTCGCAGGCTCAAACGCACGTTTTCAACCTCTTCCTCCAACAAAGGATAAATCATAATAATACATGTAGTCACCTATATACACACACATACATACATACAAGCGAGCAACTGGGGCCGCTACTTTATTTATTTCTATACTCTCCTCCCCCTTATCTTACTACTATTCTATATTCGTTGTTATACATTCGACGTTTTTACACATACATATTATTACGACCCACTGATGTTGATGATCATGGAGGGTGACCATGATATCACCAGGCACAATGCTTATTTTGGAAGTATTTGACTTTCCGTTGACGTTGGTGCTACTAAAACAGAATGCAAGCTGTGATGCAAGCATGATCACATGGTGATAAGGGTGGTGGTGCTTTTGGTGCATTCTTGTGCTTTTTATCCATGATGATGATGATGATGCAAGAGGAGATCCTTCTTACTGAAAATGAACACATGATTGAGAAGCTATATCGTGCATCATGCATCACACCGTATAAGATTCAAACTGCAGCAGACGAAATGTATATACAAGTATTATATGTATTCAAGGAGAGGGCTATTATACTGTATCTTAGATCCTTATCAAACGCTTAATTAATGAATAGATGGAGGATGATTGAAAGCTTGTGGCTGCTGATGTTGGGTTGATGAAGAAGTGGATAACATAAAGCCCATCGACTTTGCATGTTGTTTCGCGATAGGGCAATCTTTGTGTGCCACAATCAACGTCTTGAGATTCAGGATTTCTTCTCGTAGCCTTAGAATTTGGTGCTCCAATTGTCGGTTATCAGTATCCATGTATTCCACCTGATTCTGTAAATTGGTAAGCCATTGTTTTTTGCGTAAGCGACACTTGAATGCAGCTACAGGACAATGCATGTTGGTGAAACGGATACACATAAACCCTATTTCTCCTACTACCTTGGCGATTGCGTTCCAAGAACATTTGTCTACGTTGTTCATCATCACCATCATCGACGATGATAGTACCTTCAGTGCGTCTTCTTTGTCTTCGGGAAGTAGAGGAAGTGTTGGTGTTGGCGGACGATGGGTGTTGATAAGGTTGTTTAATCTCGGGCATACTACGCCGATGGGCCATTTGCTGGGAATTCGATGGCGACACAGGAGCTGCATAAATGGGCAGTGTCCCATTTGTAGGCGGTTGCCAAAAGATATCAGATGGATGCTGGTGGTGGTGAGGATGATGCTGTATATGACTAGGTGTGTTGATGCCACTACTAGTGTTGGACGTGGATGCTGTGGTGGGTGTACTTATAGCACTGGGAGGGATAAGACCAACCGATGGACTCGTCGATGTCGCCGGATGCAGCATTGAAAACATGGGATCGCATGAATGGGGATCGAGCCATGGGACTCCCATAGCTGTCAAGATGTCACCTTGTTTTGCAGAGGCAGCAGACGAGTAATCAGCGGTATCTTTATCTGTGAATGAGAATGATGGTGTCATTGTTGGTATGTGCATGTCTCTTCGGAATATGGCTTATGCATAGATTGCATATGGTTGATATCGTGCTTACCCATGGCCATTATGGTAACCATACAAGATTCTAGAATAACAGAGATTGGTGCAAGGAGAGAATTTGCCGACAGGGAAGAAGGTGGATGCAGAAGAAGGATAACCCACGTTATTATTATTGTGATTGAAACCACCCTACACTATCGAACATTTCTTTGGCTGGTAGCCTCCCACTCAGCAGCAAATGACGTTATGCGGCGTGATGGGTTTTTTGCGGCAAGCATTGGGCAACGATCAGCCCGAAAACGCACCTGAATCGAACATGCCCGTAATAGCAGCACTTTATCCTCGAACTTCCTATGTTTCTCGAATAAAATTATACCTCGCATGATTGTTCCATTTCGTTCGATTTAGGGTCCGGCATTCTAAGATGTCTACAAGCAAATCATTCTACACCTGCATTAACAAACAACGGTGGTAGCATTATGGATTGACTACCAATACAATGCACGGGCTCATGTGTAACTATCTTTTTATCAGTCGATCCCCTCAACCCCCCGCCTACGTGTTACCACCGCCTTGTATTACTCTTCTTCTTCATTTTGGCTGCCCCGCAATTTATTTCTATCCCTTTCAATAAAGAAGCCGTGGGATTTGCTTGATCATGCAAACAAAGAAATGATTGCCATTTTCCATGCTGATGGGAATATGCATCGCCGATCTATTGTTGTTGCTTCATCCCATTTCTCTCGTAATAATACTATGCTTCTCGGCCACCCTTGCTAATGAAGACATCTACTTGCCATTCAAGGCAGAATCTTTATTCTTCTTTCCAAACTCGGCACTCCACTCCACATCCAGACCCAAGAATCCTACATGACCACGTCTTTCGTTACTCATCCCGCGGCTTTTTCGACATGTTACTTGCTGTTGACGGAGTATTCTTGCAAATCATAAAAGGAAATCTATACCAGCAGCGGTTGATCATGACGATATCCAATCTCTCCTTCAAAGTGGAGTCCACGAGGTGGAATGGCAATGAGCTAGTACATAAATGAAGTATCTACTTTACAACTTTGTTATATATCGACAATGAAAATGTTCATTGTTTGCATGTCGTTATGGCTTATGCAAGGATAATCCAAAGGTAATCAGGCCCCGATCCACTGTTGCATGGCAACCAAGTATACACGCACATCAACATCTATCCTTCGCAGATACCAATTAAGACGTACAATCGCACGTGGGTAATGATTATGAGCTGATTGTGCAACAGGCAGCTCGTCTCAGTGACACCTTCACACACTCCCCATGTGCCTTTGACTCTGTCAAATCTCTCATTCTTAAAACGCTGTTGCCATGGACCCCCCTTGCACATAAACATAACTTTTGGTTTGTTTCTTTAGCGTGAAGCGTATGCTTTATAGTAACATGGGATATCCGAACGATGAATTGAATGCTAAATGCGCATGATCTATCCTCAACCTTGGGCCTTAGTCATCATATCGCACACAACATGCAGCACTACGCATATGATTGGGATTGGTATCGTACCGAGAAACGGGAATAAGCAGCATGATTGGATGGAAAGAGCTCAACGTCTCGTGAGAGGCTGGGAAATGGTTGGAAAATGAGCGATGGTATATTGTGGGGTGGCTCTGTATATGCCTTTTTTTCATTCAGAAGGAAGGTAAAGATGTAGGGAAAACGTCAAAATCATTGCAACAGCAAACTCAGGCCCCGCATGTATTGATAATATGATGAATATGCATACGTGTGATTGTTATTGGTAATGTGGAGGAAGAGGACATCAAACATGTAGACGCGAGCAACACACATGAATGATTCGGAATAGACCACAAAAAAGTGCAACAACCTTGTGCAGCCTTACGAAAGCAAAGTTGCAACGAAGATCCCTCTCATCTACATACGTGCATAACTATCACTATCGATCAACGAGCTTCGCAAGCGGTGCATGGTTTTATGTTTCACGGTGTCACGCGAATCTTACGTTAACCAGGAGCACAAGGACTTGATTCGATGGGATTCAGGGCAGCAAGGGCCCATTCACAGGCACAAGCGTTGGTATTGAGATGGTGATCCTACCTTTGTAACATGACACCCACGCGGATTTTGACTTGCTGCATTAGATTTGGAAGAAGGCGTGTGTGAAAACCATACATCTCTTCTCCACATTAGCTTTATCTTAACCAATCAACGGTTAATCCATCATCAAGAAACTCTCAGCCGCGCGCACATACATCCCATTGACTCGATAAATTTATTGTCTCCTACCTCCTTTCAGCCTGTCAGCCACCTCATCTCTTTCTTTTTTTGTTTTCTTCCTTTACTTTTTTCATGCACGCATCAACAACCCATTCCCATATCCACAAACAGCTCGAATTAGCGCTGCCTTATTCAAACAACAAGGGAACAAAGAAGACCCACACACCAGGTGTGCTCACCAAAACCTTCTCCTGTGACATTATGCTAATATACAAATTTCATTGTTATAAGGATTCCATCCAGCTGGGTATTCTCAAAAAGGTCATCCATCAACATGGAGCCTTTCTTCAAATAAACGCAAGTAAATGTTTAGAAAGCTATACGTGTCGTGTAGCTAATTTGGATTTGCATGTGAATGCATATAGACATACCCTTCCCGCAAAATTCTTCCCATAATGAATCATTCACTCCTACTCCAACTGCAGCAACGATTAGTCGTACCGATACAACAACAAGCTCTACTTCTTGTATTGATGAAAGTGAAGATTTTTCATTGTCGTCATTCACCTCAAGGGCGGTTATCGCATCTAAACGTGCAGCACAAAATAGAGCTGCTCAACGTGCGTTTCGACAACGTCGTGAACGATACATCAAGGATCTCGAAAAACGGGTCAAGGAAATGGCCGCATGGCCTGAAGAAATAGAGCATCTACGTTTTGAAAACAAACATCTCAGGGAGCATGTATCCATTCTTTTGCACCGAATTTCGGAACTAACAAGTCAACAAATGACACCGCCATTAAGCAGTGCAAGCAGTGCTGGTAGCTGCGATGCTGCAGTAACAAATCCATATCCTAACCATCATCCCGTACAACATATCACACAAGGCCCAGTGGCACAAGCGATTCCGCACCAATACCCTGGTCACCCACCACAATACAACTACGCTCTTGATGAGCCGCAAGTAGAACGTTTTTACCATCATGATATGCCTATCAGGAATAGTGCCCAGCAACCATCGTCATATCAGCAACATGTGCTTCAGCAACAACAGCAGCAGGAGAACGCATGGAACATCAACGACGACCTTGATTTAGATTTTCCTTTTGATCCATTCTTCGACAATGGAAGATGTGCAACCACAGCTATTGCTCCTGGAGAGCACCAAAGCAATTACAGTAATCAAGATATGCATACAATGGATATACAGCAATGGCAGTATTGCACGAGCACTTGACCAGTTGGTGGAAGCCTGCTATTGATGTCCTCAACAAATACCCTTTGAACAAACCACTCACGTCGAGAATTCCAATACCTCGCCCTCTATTCTTCTTATGCAACTCCCTCTTCCATTTTAGATTCTTCATTGTCGATGATTCATGTATATGACACCATTCCTTCTCCTTTTCCTCTTTTGTACGATACATATTTCTTCTTTTTGCACTCATGATTTCAATAATAGTAGTACAACAATTGTATTTCTTCGCATTCAATATATCACATGTAGTAAGATCTGTTTATCTTCTTCATCTTTGCTTAGCACTTGTCTTCCACGCGGATAATATCGACATGCTGGTTGTCGTCGTCATCGAGATCGTTCACAAGTCTATCGAAGGTGTTGTCATCGGGTGCTTGATCTTTGGCGTAAATGGCCGAGAAGACTTCGTTGTCTAATGTGGAGCAGTGTTGATTTAGCATATCGATTGTGTGAGGAGAACTTGATATCACTTACCATATTCAACCCATTCATAGAGGCCTTGGTTGTCTTCGAGAAGCTTGTAGTGGGCCTTGTATTCGGGATAGTTGATACCTTCAATGCCCTTTTGCTTTTCAGAGCCATCTTCAGGGTAGAAAGCAGCGTCCTCTGTGATAATGTTAGTTTCGCTGATAGGGTTCCCTCAACACATCCTTGACCACTTACCCAAAGTGTAATCGAACGTGTATTCATCATCGTCATGGCTGCTGTATTCAAGAGTGCCCACGACTTCAGCATGTCCCAAACGCTTGCCATCTTGATTGACATTGCAGCTAGCCTTTTGCTTGAGAGATGATCCTCCATCGTTGGTGAAATCAAAGTGCCAGCAGTCGCATGAGAAGCCGTAGGTCTGGGTCATGTTGTCAAAAGTCGACTTTACATTCTCAGTCATACCACCAGCATACCCTACATTCATCATGTTAGATCATCATCCAATGGATCAAGGTGTGTATGAGAGAGAAGAGAAACTTACAAGTGCCAAGGAGAGCGGAAACATCGTCATGATGGTTGTTCTCGGTGGTATCTTGACGAGTAGCCAAGAAAGGCATTGCCGATGCGGCGGAAATGTAGAAGAAGGCAAGGGTACCAAAGATTTGTTGTTTCATTGTTGTTGTTGTTGTTGATGTGATGAGATAATGTTGAAAAAGATGGATGGGATGTGGTGCTTTTATATCTTTTCAAAATGCCAAGAATATCGAGACATACACCTGCTGAGCAAAGCCTTGATGTGTGGTGTGGAGAGGGAAAGAAACTGCTTTTGGCAACAAGTATCCGAGAATGCACCGCCAAATGCATGACATGAGGCGTCGCTGGTAAATATGCTCGTGCACACGTCCTAAACCATTCATGGAAGACATCACTTGAGTTCTTGCATGTATGCTTGGACCAGCTGCCGTTGAACCTACAAGCATGTTATTGTGTCAGTGACGTGTTGTGGGGTGGTATTTCCAATGATTCCATTCTTTTTTTACATTACCTCAATGGCAGTGCGTTGCTTGGTAACCTTGACACGATAGGTCTTTGGACGTCTTTTGATAGCTCTTGGACCAGAAGAAGATTGCTCATCGGTCATTGTGTCAGCCTTGTCGCCTTCCTCCTGTGTCATGTCTGACATGATGATATTAACATCAAGGATCGATCACGTGGAATAAGCAATGAATCGTATTTACCATGGATATTTCCGGGACCAGGATCCGGCCGATTGTATTTGATGCGTAGCTCGCGGGCAAAGCGCACCGACGAATCATCTGATAATGGATACACCAGAACACCTTGTGCATTACGCTTTTGTTGATCTTCCACTACATCATTCATCGCTCAGCCTCAATGAAAATGCCCAACACAATGGATACTCTCTAACATTTACCTGTTGCATCAGTCTGGAACGAGACAACGGCAGGTGCATGTGCATAAAAATAGCGAGCACTGCTTGGCAACTGTAGATGGATGCGCAGCAAAACATGTTAGCCATAAGGGATCGATACACATACGCATACACACACACGCGCCACACACGTTACAACACTAACCTTCCTCCTTGCACCACCATCCTTTTGATGCTTCTCCATACACTTTCGTAGGTGAGACTCTTGCCCATCACGGGGCACCAGGTGGCGACGATCGAATGGACATGACACGCATTCCCTTTGTTCCTGCTCAACATGCGCAAATGAATATACCTCTTCCGATACTTGACAGCGGCAACCTACTTGAATGTACCAGTTCTTGAGATCTTGGCGATCCCAGTGCAATGCTGCTAGGATAGAGTCGATCTTGTCGTTGATGGCGGCGATGCGTTGGTTCATTTCTGGCGGAATAGAGTATGTGTTTGGGTGTGTGCGAAGGATCGGCTGAGCGGAAAAGGATGCCGATCTCTCAACAAAGATCATATGGCCATGTGGATCCAAACTTGCACATCCATTCGCTTACGTCAAAAATAGGTTGCATTACACGTCATAGGATCTTACCTCGGATTCCTCTTTTTCTGTTAAAACAACTACCATCACCATCCTTTGTGCTCAGCATCATTCACCACACCTTCCCCTTCTTGGATACATTATACATCCCTCTGTGTAACTTTTCTCTCCCTTGCTGATCACGTGTTTGGAAATGCTTAGCTACTTAGTCAAATCGATATAGCTGTATCGAATAAATGTCTTTGGTTTTCTTTTGATATGGTTGGCCATAATGCCAAGAGCTTCATAATCCATCACCATTGTTCATGTGTGATTGCTGTACGTGTTGCAATTCTTTTTATTACCACCAAGACGCTACATACATGTGGATGCTAGTCATGGCATAAAATCATTGATCCTCGTACGTTCGGATTATGAGTGGTTTACTTGAGAATGTGCTGTGGTGTTCATATGCGGATGAATGGTCAACATGATACAGTATGCCCATTTCGCTGTTCACGGCAATACGGCCTAAGATCAATCACCATATCGTCCACCGTATTGATAGCAAGCAAAGTTTGATCTCATCAACTGGGACCTTTTCTTATTAATGCCAACTATGACACATGCGTCGTATTCTTTATCAAACAGCTACCTACGTAAATGATATCAAAGGGCACACCTTTCGTGGATGATGTATGAAGAATCTCACCACCTTCCAACATGATGATGACTCAAAAATCCCTTCCTTCTGTTCGATGTGTGGCTAAAACACAACCCCACAATGTCAGTTCTATTGCTCATCTGATCAGCATCATTGCTTTGGTGTTACCATCAGCCACCAGCATGAGGTGAGAACATGCAAAAGCGGTAAGATTGGGAGAGATTTATCAAATTAGGCAGGGTACCATTGGTATGTGAGCTCATTACTTATCCATATGCTCCATAATCCTTGTGACAAGCACATTTATGGGAAGATACAGCGGTCATTTCTTGGCATTAGAAATGGGAAGTATAATTTAGTTTGGCAGAAAAGGAAAAGCAATCGCATTGTGGCTATCACAGGGCAAGCATCACTCGTTGATCGCTTTACGTGAGAAGCATCAACTTCACACGATGCCTTAGGAAATATACATACCTTTGACCATCTCATCCTCAGCATAATAGCTATATTGTACGTCCAACTACGTGTCTTTTGTGACGTGAGAACGATATGCATAAGATTGCAGCAAGGGCAATGCATGCCACCGTGCATTGATATCAAGACGCATATGCACGTGCAGGATTAAAAAGGGTCACTATGCATCGTTCTTATTATGTGTGATCGTATCCAAGGATACAAGAATGGGGTTTCTACTCTCCAAATTTATTTGGCAAGACATTAAACGGACGACGGAGAATATTATGGGTCTATTTTTTTCTATGTGACAAGCGTATATAATCTCATTAGTTGTTGGAGCCGAGGCAAGAATGCATTTCGGTATGCAAACCGAAGTAGCTAAGTAAAAACGATGCATCAGTAAACCTCCATACATAGTCTACAGTCACTCACTCATTATGATCATAAAAGCTGAGAGCAATAAGCTCTACTGAATCCGAGCACTTGCGGGTCTCCAAGCCATTAGCACACACGCCTATACAATCCATCCATGTTGGTATTGGCATGTATACAATCAACCAGCAGCTCATAAACTTACGTGTGGTGTTATTTGATTTGATCCAATACTCTTCACCAGGATGTCTAAAGCCAGCAAATTTGTGGGGTACATGGGGAACAGCTGTAAAAATGGTAAGCACAAGTTGGATGATACCATCGAGTAGCCTTATGCTTACAATCCATTTTGTTGATGAGCCTTGTTACAGGAATCTTGGTGCTTAGAACGTATTCTGCAAATGCCTTGTTACCAACACGAGGACCGCCTTGGGTATAAAGCTTGAGTTTATGTGCTGGTACACCACGCTGATAAAGATCCATGGCACCCAACATGGACGTGGCACCACCAAGCGAGTGTCTATGTATGGGTCATGAAGGGGTGGTTTGAATCGATGCTATCCTTTCCGTTATCATGTACGTGCTTACCCAGTAACAGCGATATTGTAGTCTGGGTACTTTTTGGCTTGATCCAGAACAACAGAGGTGATCTCATCAGCGACATCCATATAGGTAGCATAAAAGCCTAGTAATATGACACATTTAGATGCTTAGTGCTTTGACCCAAAACATGTAAAGGTCATTTGGAATTACCTTTGTGGACATAAGCGCCTTTGACAGGAGGATAAGACACGGGGAGAGCAGTGAAATCCTATACCTCATAGTTTAATATTACTGCCACTGAGCTCAAGATTTGTATGTATATATTAGCCAACTCACTGCTATCCAGCCTCTGATTGAATCGGTTCCTCTAAAGACAGCTACCACCTCCTTGCGTTCGTCATCTCTTACAACCATGGCATTGGTATCGTATTTCTTTGTCTTGAACGTTTTGATCAACTTGATGCTATCAAAGGCATCACAATAGGGGCAGCTCTCCAAATCACCACCAGGAATAACGGATGAGCAATACGCTGAGTATGACAATTGGAGGTAATGCTTCTGGATGGCCATATCATCATTGGAAGCGAGATGCACACTACCATCGCCACTACGTTTTTCGAGGGACGTTGTCGGTGCGGCAATAACAGCTGTAGCAGCCATTAACGTTGCTAGGATGGATGCTGTTGGGACTTTCATTGTTTGAGGATGATGCTGCAAAAGAGGATGAGAAGCTGATGCTGTCCTAAACTCCTGATTATCGTCATTCTTATAGTATTTGTCGTGAACCATAATACCGTAACACCGCTTTCGACGTTAACCAGCGGGGTACCTTTTCACATGTGGCGATACTGGATGAGTTCACATTAGTCTTCTAAGATCTGCATGGCGTTCACAAAGTTCACATTCCACTCTTTTTCTCCTGAACGTAAGGCTTACCACCGTATACGGTTATACCAATTGAAATCGGTGAAACCTTAATGGATAAATGGGTCATCATATGCTAATGGCATTGACAAGTACAAAAGCCTTATTTTCGATCGTCATGCGTAAGAAAGATCTTGCTGCTCATCAAGATCAGCATCTAATACGTGCGGGAGTAACAAATGACAGCCTGTATCACCATTGACAGGTTGCACAACATTGATGATACCAACTCATTTTCTCCAAAACAAGAATAAAATGAAGCATGTACACCATGAATTGTCCCATTACTGAGTATGCAGTCTCTTTATAGAAGATGACTAGGTACCATAATAAAAGGCTTTGGGTGACCATCACGTCAACATTTAAACGACACGAAGGCACCTTTATCGATGAACTACGCAGCACGCTGCTAGTGACGTGGTTATTGGTAGGAACCAAAGCAATGGATATCTCTTGCTTTTACCAGGTATGGTATGTCAATTTGAGGGATGGTGTCTTGTAGAGCTAAAATTGAGCTTCGAGGCATCGCTACTCCGGGGTTACCAATGATATGTCATTTGTCCATGTGGCTATGCATGCATGTTTCATTGTCAGTTTTTGTTACCGCCACTTCACCTTGAGCGTTTTTCTATGCTATTGCTCTGTAGTCATCCAACACTTGGCGTGACTACATACGAGATTGCTCGCGTTGTCAGGGGTTGAAGGACTTCTTTAGCTAGTAGCATAGTCGGCACTAGAGCTCCATTGTGTAGCACAGGTCAAGCTGACGTGAGTCTGTATCACGTTGCATGTGTGGATGAAATTCTGTAAAACTTCATCATATGAAAAAGTCCTAAAAAGCCTGAATAAGGTGCATACAACATGGATCGACAATTGATTTGCAGGCAATATGAGCCGCACATGCGGGGAAGATTTATACATTTATCCAGCCATTCTTATACTCGACAATAACCTTGCATTTCCATTGTATATGCATTGTTGGAAGAATGCACATACATACAATGAACCTTTAATGAACGCAATAAACCAATGGCAGCAACTCGACACGATGATGTAAATGATCCAATCTCGCTTCCCAAGCTTCAAATTTCTATTCCCCCTTTCAATCCGGAAGCAACCAAGTGATCCGCATCTTGCACACATTAGCATATAGCACTATACCCTCCTAAACATCATATTGCATCCAATTTTCATTCAATGCATAAGTCGAAGAATAAAACATGGTAATGTGGATGTTTATCAAGTGAATATGATAATGGAACAGTGATGTAAATGAAAAATGAGATACGGGTGAACCACATAGAGGCAATAGGGATGATTGAGTCATTGTGTTCTTGGTTGCTGCTGTCATAAACCATGATGGTAAAATAGCTTCTGCATGCATTGACTTGAGTATTCCAATATCACCCATAGCTGTAAGACACCTTCTTTCGTCAAAGATACAAACCTTCTCATCAATCCCATCCAATCCATCATCATCCTCAGCCGTTTCCACGTGACATGATCCATCCTTCCTGCTGACAACTCGACAAGTAACCAAAGCAACGTTCCAGGATATCTAATCACTGCACTTGATTGCATCCATCCATCAAATCCGATATGTTGGTTGAAAAGAGCCATGTGATCATTGGTGGTATGCTTTCTTCGATCCGGGTATTGGCCTATTTCGCTCTTGGTCGTTCTCCATCGCAGCTCAACCAGGTGAAGATCGCTTGTATTGCGGCGTACTTGATAGCTGATATGGCATCATCCATAGGGATCCGTATGTACCAAAGCAAGTTGTTCCACGTAAATAAAGTTGCTTTTATACAATGGCTATCTGTTGTTCACGTAATAAAGGCCACAAGGCAGTTTGCTGCAAGTAATTTGAGGCAAGATACAATGGAGTAAAGACCTCGCTACTGGCAGCTGCTGTTACGTTTGGCCGTGGCAGAGGAACGTGCAAGAGCGTGTGTTGTAGTAGAATGACAAGGTTGTGAACGCTGCTTGAGACAATGGAGCGAATAGCAACCGCTGGAATGAATGCTGTTACGTTTGGTCGTGGTAGATGAGAGTACAAGAGCGTGTGTTGTGTCAAGAGACTCGTGTGTTGAAGTAGAGCGACAAGAAGGCTGTGTACACGCCATGGACTTGCCATTCAGTCAAAGACAATCGGATCAAGACAATCGTATGCTTGACATGATGGGTTGAAGCAGGACAATCGTTCGCAGGTGGTAGTTGTATACTTGAATGGGCCAACAGTTGAGAATGGGAGGAAGAGGCAAGGTGCTGGGAGTGGAACAAGTGGAAATTAAATAGGGTGAACACCTCTTGTATAAATGGATGCACACTGTACATCAATCCTTGATACTGAGATTGCCCATTTCGAACCTGAAACTTTCACACAAGATGCTCTTGGGCATGCTGATCCACATGGTTTTAAAAAAGACATTATGTTCATTAGAAAATATTGAATGATAGGGTATATTGTGGGTTTACTATGTAGTACATCTTCCAGCAAAGAAAAAATTGCTTCCCATTGTAGAGCAGCGCA